TCCTACTCGGGCGTCGGGAGGAGCTCTGATGAGGAACGACAAGGGGGAACTCATCTTTGCCATCCATTTTCCTTTGAAGGCGGACTCAAGTCTGGAGGCAGAATTTGAAGCCATGAGAGTTTCGATGAACTGGGCGATTGATAAGGGCTTCGTTGATTTTCAGGTGGAATTTGATTCGGTAGAGGTGTTGAACGCCATTTCAGGAAAGCCAACTGGGAAATGGAAAGGGTTGATTGCCGACATTCAGGTTAAAGCTAGGAGGGCCGGTGTTTCTTTCGGACAGGTAATGAGGCAGGCTAATTGGCCGGCCCATTACCTTGCGGGTTTTCAGGTGGCCCATTTAAAAGTTTTTCCTAATATTACTTCTCTTCCTTCTACTGTTAGATCTGCTTACTACTTAGATTTTTTCGATATCCCGTCTTTTCGGAGTATTTGGTAGTTTTCTTTTTCTCTGTTTCTTCTGTATTTACAGTTTGGAGTGTTTTTTGAAAGGGAATGCCCTTTCTGAAGAGGTCTTGGTCTAGTCCCCCTCTTCGTTTTTGTTTTTCTCTCTCCTTTTTAATAAAATTTGGCAAATGTTCCCCGGCGTTTGCCCCACTGATTTTGGTGGTTTGCCTACCGGGTTCAAAAAAAAAATGAATTTGTTTTATATTTGTCTACAAGCTTGAAAATTAAACTTTAAGGTGGATACGGTGGTGCAAAAAAAGTATTAAAATTGTTCAATTGTTGATACTATAGTATCATAAATCTGGATGGCGCAAGAGCATCATAGGTTTTTGTAACATTAGTGATATCACTAATTTATATGATATCAAAGTGTCGTTAAGTATACCAATGGAAATGTATCACTATATTTTATGATACTAACGTGTCACAATTTACTGACACTTTTTAGTGACACATTTTTTAGTGTCAGAGTTCCAACCATTCGTTGACACTTTTGTGGTGTCACTAAAACTTTTAGTGACACTAATTTAGTGTCACTATATACCATTTTTCTACTAGTGGTGCCACTGAACAGATAAGTTTTTTACTTATGTAATTATATTTTGGGATTTCTAAACACATCCAATTTCGAAATCGTTAAAAAGAGAAAATATTGATCCAAAAAGAATGAAGTTATGAACGAATACAATTACCTGATGGTTAAGAGAATGAAATATGCTAGAAATCCTATGTCTGGAGGTTGTCCTAAACTGAACTGAGTGTATAGCATGAAATACCTGCAAAAGCAGATCAGGAACATCGATAAGTAAAGGTAACAAAGCTTCGTTCTCATCAGTGAAACCTAGGTAGAGATGCATAGTCGCGAGTAGTGAGTAGCGAGTAGCGACATAACTTCTTCCAGGCTCCTTCAACCTCGGATTGTTTCTCCTCTGCCTCATTTCTCTCTCTCTCTCCGGCTCAATTTCTCCAGGCAAATAGCTAGGGTTTATGTTTTGTTTTGTCACTCTTAGATTCTAACACTCTTGCGGAACTTTAATACGCGCAGATGCTAACAAAGGGGTTTTAGTTTTATTTCAATATCAGTACTCCGTATATCTCTAGGCTTTAGCGTCGGCGGGATCAAACAGCACATACTTCATATGTACTAATATTTTTTGCGTTCATCCATGGACGGAAAAGATATATTATTAGCGACCATACATGTTAACGCAAAAAGTATGGACGCTAGTAACACTTTTTCTTGCAGTGAGATGGCGAAAAAAGGAGATACCTGAGCAGAGCTTCATCAATTTGTCCATGAGGTACTCCACACCGGTTTTACGCTTATTGTGGCGGAGGAAGCGAGGAGTTCATCCATTGCACTACTCGCTCCCAGCAGAGCGGGCTATGAAGCTCTTTAAAAGTTCACTCACCGGAAATAGTAGTCTCGCCACTTCGCCAGCAATCGATTGCCATGGTGCGGTCAGAACTCAGAAATGGTTCCCGATGTTCATGTTCGAGCTCAGCGTGGCCATGTCTCATTGGCGTTTACATCTCGTAATAGGCTTTGCTCAAAGAAAGAAGAAAGATCGTCAAAATAGTTAGCGCCCGAACCCTAGACTGCTAGCGGAGAAAGTTTCTACTTTATGTACTCCGTAGTTTATTAAATTAAATACATACTACGTAGTAATATTGTATTGGAGTGTCATCGTTGTATTTTGATGGAGTACTATTGCTCATCGTTGATATTAAGGTGTCATTAAAGTTCAATATCATCTCCAGTGTCACTAAAAGAGTGTCAGTGTTTAAGCTATTTTTCTTCTAGTGCTTGTTAAGGTAAGTCTAAATGTAACTCGCGTATGGGAAGATGTAACTCACGTTATGAACTCGTGTTATGAAAAAATGTAACTTGCATTGATGAAAATTCTAAATTAGCTGTATGCAAAATATAGCTTCTTGAGGCAAGTCTAAATGTTACTCACGCATAGGAAGATGTAACTCATGAACAACAAGATGTAACTCGCCTATAAGAAGATGTAACTTCATATACTATAAAATGTAATCCCATAAATTGTCTATAAACATAACTCACACATATGAAAAATGTAATATAATTTCATGTTTTATGAAATTTAAATCGAAAAAACAAATTTAATGTCTTAAAATCACTAAAAACACATCAAAGAGAAGAAATATATATTTTTTTGCATAGAGATAAGAAATATATCATAGAAAAAAATTTATGAACATAAAATCTAAAAAATATTACAGGAAAAAGTATATTTTATTGTAATTTCAGTTGAAGATAAAAAATGTAGAGAAAATGTATGATTATGAAATACAACATACTTATTTTATGTGGATTAATAAAATTTTGTAATAATTTGATAGAGAAAAATATAAATTCAATTGTAATAGTATTTAATTAGTTAAAGATAGAGATAAGTAAACTCACAAATAAATTTTTAGTATTTTGATGTAAAAGAGAAAAGAATTGAAGAAAATAGAAAAGAAAAACAAAGAGAAAGAAAGTAGTAATCTGGAGCACAAAAAAATAAAACTTCTGTGATACGCAGTTCCTATATGGTACATTCGGGTGTACGTACACCCGATCCAACTGAGGAAGACATCCCAATAACTGTTACAGGCCAAAAAAAATCGGTGACATTTTTGTAATGTAAGCGAAAAATCACGGTTTCCGCTAAATGATCAATATTGTGCTTTTTGTGAGCATCTAACATATTTTATTGAGTATTAGGAGGCTAACAATGAGTATTACGATATGTACTTCATATCTTCTAATTCATCTTCTTTTTCTTATTTTTTCTTTTATAAAAACTTATTAAATTATATCTATAATCCACTCCTATTAATTTCAATACGCGATTCTAATGTAATATGATACTTTTGAAATATGCATTGATATGACATTTTAAAAATGAGCATAACATCAGTACCAAATGAGCATATATAACTTACAAAGTGCACATTGATATGAAAAGTGTAAGGTTTGTTAGTTGAACATCACGACATTTTAATTGAGCATCAAACCTCTGCTATTGAGATGAAAATCACAATTTCTGGTGAATGAGCACTAATGAACTTTTAATGAGCATCATACCTATTACGTTTAGTATTATGAGTCTAATATTCAGAATCATGATCTCTGTTTCATAACTTTTAATTCACTTTATTTTTGCTCTTTTTTCTTATATAAAAACTTATTAAATTATACACATAATTAACTCCTAGGAATTTCAAGACGTGAATCTAATGTAAAATAGTATTTTAAAAAATGTATTGATATGACACTTAGAAAATGAGCATAAGATCAGTACCACATGAGAATCGTAAGGTACTATTATGAGCATTAAAACACTTCTAATGAGCATCAGACTTATCCGGTTGAGTACTAGGAACCCAACAATGTGAATCTAATGTTATATGCAACTTTTAAAATTCGCATGAATATGACATTTTAAAAATGAGCATAATATGCGTACAAATTGAACAAACGTAACTTACAAAATGAGTATTGATATGAAAATCATAAGTTTTTTAGTTGAAGTTCAAGACATTTTTATTGAGCATCAAACCTTTTCTATTGAGTATTGAAAACATCCAATTGAGTATCATGGTTTGTGCTCCTGTATCTATAATCAACTCCAACATGAATCTAAAAAATAAACTGAAACATTTAATAATATTTTATTATACATTTTCATTTTCATAATAATTGAATATAACATTAAAGTAGAAGGTTGCTAAAAAAGGAGAACAAAAAAAAACAAAAAAGGAGAATAAACAAAAGAAAAGAAAAGAAAGGAGAACAACCATCTTGGGTGAAGGAAATTAAAACAGAAAACTTGTAACAACCCGCTCATTGAAATGGAGTATTGCAAGCAAAAAACAAAGGTAGTTTGTTTCTAGGTTTATTTCCTCTCTACTAACTCCATCTCACATCATACTTCTTGTTTGGGGAGTTATAGTTGGAGGAGAATTCCATGCAGGGAATCAATTAAGAAGAGATGTTGGGCAACACGTGTAATCTGGAGAGGATCATTCGTTATTCATAATCTGGATGTTGACCAATGAACGAAGCGGAAAGCGTAGGCCTGGAGAGCGTGCATGAAGAACAGAGCATCGGCGGAAAAAGGAAGAGTAGAGCATCTGTGGAGCATTAGCCTATCAATTACCCTCAAACATGCTACTAATTGCAAAAAAAAACGGGTGTACATGTACACCCAGGTGTATGATATAATTTGCGCGTGATACATGGTATTAGATTGTTGGGAAGAGAAAAAACAGTATGGGGATCGGCGATCCCATGGTATAATTTTAATTTGCCCAACTCACTAGTTTTCGGCCGTAGGACTGATTTTTATTACTCCCTCCATCCTAAAATGATAGTCCTGTATTTCCTTTTTAGGATGTCCCAAAATGATGATCTTTTTTCCCTTATTGGAAAGAAAGATGTGGTACATATCATTTCACTTTATTATACTCAAATCTAAATCACAATTTTTACGTTTTCAACCATTTTATTAACTTTGTCCAAACTACTCACGGTTCGCGGCATTTCCCACCAAACTGGTTTTTCATTGGGTATACAAAATGGAAGTCATTCCGGCACAGCTAAACTAGATTAGAACTGCCGTATTCTCACTCCCTCTCCATTTGAACTCAATGGCTTCGCGCCGACCGAGCAATGGCAGATCACCCTTGGTCAATCAACAGCGCCAAATCACAGCTTTTTTTGCCAAGACAACATCGTCCACCCCTTCCCCATCCCCTTCGCCCTCCTCTCTCACTCCCAAATCTAGACCCAAACTTAAGAGTTCAAGCCCAAAACCTAGCCCTAGCACTATCTCCAGTTCATATCCGAGCACACTCACGACCTCGCCACTCGGTTGCTCTGATTCTACTAAGACTTTGTACCAGAAAGAGGTACTTAATAGGAGGATTAGGGTCTATTGGCCTTTGGATAAATGTTGGTATGAAGGATCTGTAAAATCTTTTGATAAGACATTGGGCAAGCATTTGGTTCACTATGACGACGCGGAGGAGGAGATGCTGGATCTTTCTCAGGAAAGGATTGAGTGGATTGAGACTCCAGTGGCTAAAAAGTTCCGCCGTTTGAGACGGCCTAGAGTGGTAGAAGACGAGGAGGAAGAGAAGCCGGATGTTATTTGGAATGGTGTTGATGACTTGGAAGATGAAGAGTGGGGAAACAGTGCCGGCAAAGGAGCAGAGAAGGATGAAGTTGGCATAGGTGATATGGATTTAGAAGCAGAAGAGGAAGATATTGGGTTAAGAATAGGACTTCCAGGGCTGAACAAGAAGGCAGAATCAGGGAAGAGGAAATGTAGTGCAGAGCATAAGGTACAGTCTACCTTGGTCAAGAAGATTAAACGTGGTGGAAATAATAAAAGCACAAAAACAGAGGCACCCACCATTGTTAATCCAGAATGTAAGTGATAGAAGCTCTTTTTTGGATCGATTTCCAGCTCTATTTTACTTTTGTTAGAGCTGTCACTCTTGGAGTTCTTGAAGCTCCAGTAACATTCCTCTGAAGTATGCCTACAATATACTACTGAGTATTAGAATATCAAGATGTGTTCTAGTGTAACCCTGGTTTGTTCTACATACTCAAAAAAATCGAATTCTCTTGTTTATGTCCATCAACTTTACTATGAGAATAGAGAATTATTTGTCTGTCTTCAAGCTCTTTTTTTTTTTGAATTATGACTAGTTCTTTGGGTAAGTTGAGTTTCAAATGGATCATATTCAATTAAACGCTGCTATGAAGACCATCACTTTAATCATCAATATCAGCAGATGCTAAATGCTAGACAAATTTTAGCCATCAATATTGGAAAATAAATAACTATTAAGATGTATGATCTTTCAGGTTTGAAGGAATCAAACAATGAACAGGTTTTATCTGGCAATGCAGTGGAAAGATTTAGCATGCGTGAAATAGTGAAGTTCCCCTTCCTTGGAAAGTGAGATCTGGTTTGAGTGTTTCAAGTTCATTTTCTTAGGCAATCTAATATATATATATATATATATATATATATATATATATATATATATATATATATATATATATATATATATATATATATAAGTTGTTACCAACTAATTCAAAAGAAATGTATGATCTTATCAATTTGATGTTGATTGATCAAATTGCTCAATAAGGGATAGGAGAGATGCAAATCGAAGGCGCGCTGGAGATGTCAATTATGATTCGAGGACTCTTTACCTCCCCCCTAGCTTTTTAAAAGATCTAACCGGTGGCCAGGTAGATTTAGTATCAGGTTATTGTTTGGAGCTTTTCAAAGTCCTTTCGCGAAGTACCTAAAATATGTTTCTGATTTCTAGAGACAATGGTGGGAATTGAAGTCAAAACACATGGACAAGGTTCTTTTCTTCAAGGTACTCATTAAAAATACGGGTCATTTCTCATTCACTGTGCTATTACACTTGCAACCTTGTTGGTTGAAATTGTAAACATAATATGTCTCTTGGGTCAGATGGGGAAGTTTTATGAGCTTTTTGAAATGGATGCACATATTGGAGCCAAAGAGTTAGATTTGCAGTACATGAAGGTAGTTTGATTTCACTCTCCACACGAAAACTTGAGATTGCATGAGTAGCAAAACAACAAAGTTACCATTCTGCTGTTGTTTCAGTGGTTCACACTTAATTTGTTGATTTGGATTTACTGATAGCTTAATCTATGTAATGGTGGTAGGAGATTTCAAACTTTCTGATATATGACTCTGGCCATCTCTAAAAGGCACAATCTCTTATTATTGTAGGGAGATCAACCTCATTGTGGTTTTCCAGAGAAAAACTTCCCAATGCATGCAGAGAAATTGGCTCAGAAGGTTCGCAATCTAATATAATAGTGTTATAGTTCAGGCCTTTACACTCTTTTATATTTTAAAAGATGATCCCGATTTTCTTTCGTGTGTGCCTGGCATAGAGCAGGGTTATAGGGTCCTTGTCGTTGAGCAAACAGAGACACCTGAACAGCTTGAGCTTCGTCGTAGGGAAAATGGCTCTAAAGACAAGGTTAGTTCTTGTGGGGCCCAAAGGTTTTCTACTAGTTTGGTGGTGTACCACTACTGAAGCCCTTAATCCTTCAATATTAACAGCTATATCACATTACTTTGGAAGTATTTATGAGAGGTAACATTTTTCTCAATCTTTAACAGGTTGTCAAACGTGAGGTATGCGCAGTTATCACGAAAGGAACATTAACTGAAGGTGAAATGCTCGCTGCAAGCCCTGATGCATCATATCTTATTGCAGTGACTGAAAATTACCAAACATCTGTAAACCAAGTTGATGGCCGGACTTATGGGGTCTGTCTGGTTGATGTTGCTACAAACAAAGTTATTCTAGGACAGGTATACCAGCATCACTGATTACATTTCCAATTCTATGTATAAGATTATGTTAGTGCTTCATCTTATGTTGTCCATGTTATTGTTTATACATGACAATAGGCGACCACTAATTTCACCTAAAGATGCAGCATGGTATAAATTGTTGAAACTGCTACTACATATGATGGAAAAAATGTACTTATATTTGAGAGTTGCATAGTTTCCTTAGTTCTAGATCTCGAATCCATTGTTGTTACTTGTTAAGATCATGAGTCAACTCGTAAGATCGTCCTATCTTACAAGCAAGGTCTTCTATCGCAATTCAGATTCTGCTTAGAACCAGAGAGCATCTCGAGATCGTGGGATCAACGAGTTGAACTGTAGAAGCGCCGGATCGGTGCACCCAACTGATCTGCGTGAGCGTATACATGTTGTCGGGTCGGGTGGGCTACTGTGTTGCCAACGTGTATGAAGAGTCCAAAGGAAAAAAGAAAAGTCTCATTCGAAGGATTGACAATGCAGTTTTTTTTTACAAAGATAAAAATGTACTACACCTAATGAAAACTCAGGTACGAAGCAGCATCGAAGAAACTTACAAGCACACGTCTATTTTGGAACTGCAAATCGGCGTTTTAGCATTTGACTTTCACTGGTTCTATTACTTTTATAGAACTATAATTCAATCTGTTACGTTCTTGTTTTTATTTACTTGTTTAAGCCTTTTATTTTTATTGAAATGTTTGCTACACTTTCCTTCTAGGATTGTAAATAAGTAGGGTTTCCACAGGGATGTATTTTAATTTTTGCTACACTTTCCATTTTTTTGTAACTTTTCTCTTTAAAAATACTCAACTATCCTTTCTGTTTCTACTTTTTATCTTCTCTTTCATACTTTTCCACCCTCTCTCCTACCCTCTTTCTATTTTTTTGGTCCTCCCTGTCATTTTTAGGCTTCAGGGTGGCAGGGTCTATATGTATTGCCATCTTTTGCCTCCTCTCCCAATAAGCCATATTTTTCTAAAGCAGCTGTGGCTGTTTGTGTTTTCTCCTCTCTTTCAATTGTTACCAAAACTGTATGTATGCCTATTAATTAGTCAAATGAGGTAGTTGTTCTTACTAACACCATTCATGTAGTCTTCGGTTAAAGACTTCTGAATCTCTTCAGTAATCCAATAATTTAGGTTTTTTATCTTTGATAATTGTATCATAGTTTGTTTTTATTCTTTCTTTATGTATAGTTAATGTTAAATTTTGTTATGCATTTATATTTATTGCTTATATAGGTCCCGATTGTTTTTACACCCTTATTATGGAAACAAATGATATTTGGTTGATTTTCCAATTATGTCCTCATAAGGTGGTTAGCTTTCATGTTGTGCGGACCTCTCTAGCAAGAGCTCAACTTTCTCAACTAGAAAGGTGAACTCTTACCCAATAACCCAGCCACTAGTAATGAAACTTACTGATACAAAGCTACTATAAATGAAACTCACCGCCTCCTGTTTTGGCATCATCAAATTTTCATTCTGAATCAACTTTAGTCATTTTGTGCTTCTATAGTCCCTATAAATGTCGTGGAATAAAATAATCTTATTTGAACCAAAGTTAAATGAGTTCTGCTAATATAGAAATCCTGGAAGCTTGCTCATCTTGGTAATGACTAGATATGCATCTAAACAATGGGAATGCTGTGGGAAGAGTGGACGAAAGAGATTGCTATTTTTGAACGGACACTCTTTGATAAAGAACTTTGGCTCAATGACAAGGTTGTTCCGTTACTACATGGAGTCCGGAAATAGCCTCTTTGTGTGTAACTTTCTGAAAAAGTTTATAAGCTCGAGCCTTGTGGTAACATTTCAGAAGATGTTTAACGTATTTGAAGGCAAAAAACACTTCAAGCCTACAAGCCCCCCATTCGCTGTTAAACTTTAAAGTGCATAATTTCAATTTTGCTATGAATCCTATGATTGAAATCATTAAAGGGATTTTAAAGACTTTGAGAGCTCAAACGAATATTTCACCACCAACATAGCTATCTCAAACTTTCTTAGGGTTGAGGTAATTCCTACGCTATCTGGTCCGGCTCTTATCAGAAGGGATACTTCAATAGAGAGATTTATAAGCAAAATTTGTCAAAGGTAACTCTGGTTTTGAGTTCTAGCTTAAGGTCTCTAGTTTTTAGCAATCTACGCACATAGCAACCAATTTCATGCGCACAGAAACCATTTAACATGCATATACATCTATTAGAGTGATCTGGGGTGAATATGCAATGGGTGGCATTATATCAATTCACATAAAAATACTTCTCATATGAATGACTTTCAAATGGGCTTTCTTATCATCCGAATGCAAAAGGTGATTTCAGCTTGGAAAAGTGAAAAATGAAGAAAGATGCTGTAAAATGAATACTTGCTAAAAACTAATACGTAGTATATTTTATTTAGCTTGGAAAGTAGCCTTTGATAGTTTGATATGCAGTAATGTAGCTACTTGATTGTTAATCTGCTTGATTTGATGTGAAGTTTTCTTACCTCAATGACCAAATCTTATTTTCCTTCCCAGATTACAGATGATTCAGATTGCAGTTCTCTCTGCAGTCTATTATTGGAGTTTAGACCCGTGGAAATAATAAAACCTTCCAAGTTGCTTAGCCCTGAAACCGAGAGAGTACTTATTAGACATACAAGAAACCCACTAGTAAATGAGTTGGATCCCCTCTCTGAATTTTGGGATGCTGAAAAGACCATGTATGAAGTCAAGATTATGTATCAACGTCTTAATAATACATCATCTCAATCTTGTCAAGATGAATCAACTATTTATCACATGAACTCCACTGATAAGGATTCTCAATTGGGGAATTTACCGAGTGTGCTGTCTGAGCTTGCTAATGCAGGAGAAAAAGGGATTCATGCCCTTTCAGCTTTTGGAGGAACTCTATTTTATTTAAAGCAAGCTTTTCTGGATGAGAGCTTACTCAAGTATGCAGAGTTTCAAATACTCCCGTATTCTGGTTTTGGTGAGATTGCTCAAAAAAGATATATGGTTCTTGATGCTGCTGCTCTTGAAAACCTGGAGATATTCGAGAATAGCAAAAACTCTGGTTCTAACGGGTAATGTATGTTTTTTGTAGTTCACATTTCTCTTTATTTCCGTTCTCATAAGTGATCTTAATCTCTGCCATTGCAGGACCTTGTATGCTCAGATGAATCATTGTGTAACATCATTTGGGAAAAGGCTACTTAGAACATGGCTTGCAAGACCTTTATATCACGTGGAGGCAATCAAAGAACGGCAGGATGCAGTAGCAGCGCTAAAGGTGATCTTGACTTTTGAAAGTTGGTTGAATATCCTATTTCCACTAATTAATACTGCCTCCGTTCCAACCGAAGGTTCCCATGAAAAATGGCACAATTATTTAGATATTAATCAAGGAAAAAGGATCAAATAGACCCTTTTACGATTTCAAAACCCCAAATTAAGCCCTTCATCAAAATAAAGCACTGTTTTAACACGCCTATTCTAAAAAACATTTAACCAACTTACGGGAATACAACCTCCTTTTCCATCATTTGCAATGAAGCCCCAAAAACTCACTATTTTTTGGCTTGGAAATATGATGGAATAAAGCAAAATGACTCACTAATCTGTCTGCGCTTCTTTGTTATGAAGCAACAGTTAGTCCATGCAATTTTCACTTTGGGTCATCCAGAAACGGTCTCTCTGTGCTCTAGTATAGGGGTAAGACTGCATACATCCGATCAAATAGACCCTTTTACGATTTCAAAACCCCAAGTTAAGCCCTTCATCAAAATAAAGCACTGTTTTAACACGCCTATTCTAAAAAACATTTAACCAACTTACTGGAATACAACCTCCTTTTCCATCATTTGCAATGAAGCCAAAAACTCACTATTTTTTGGCTTGGAAATATGATGGAATAAAGCAAAATGACTCACTAATCTGTCTGCGCTTCTTTGTTATGAAGCAACAGTTAGTCCATGCAATTTTCACTTTGGGTCATCCAGAAACGGTCTCTCTGTGCTCTAGTATAGGGGTAAGACTGCATACATCCGAGCCCCTTACCCCACCGTAGGTGGGAGCCTTTGCGGCACTGGGGTAATGATAATGATAATGATAATGACTGGAATACAACCTCCCTGTGGCAGGTTAGATGCTCATTTAAAATATTACTCCGTATTTTCGTTTTCCTTTATTGTAATTACCGTTCTCTCTCTTTCCTTTCATTTTGTCTTTTTCTTTCTTTACTCTTTACCTTGGATGTTGTTGTTGTTCCTTTCGTCTTTCCAATTCCACCCTTCTCTGCTACTGCATTTTATTTTTTTCTTTATTTTTCCTTTTTAACTAACATGAGGGTTCCCAAGACAATATTGTGTAATACTAATATATGGCATAAGGAAATAATCCGATAAAAAGGTTACATAAGAATAAAATGTCTGCCGGTTATCTCGTCGGAAATCCGAATTTGGCTGTCGTATGATTTGGCTGGTGGGCTGTTTTCAACTTTCTGCTGCCAATGTTGTCCCCGGATGGTTCAACAAGTCTCGACAACCTCCTTGTCTCTACATCCGCTACCAAGTACCAAATAGAATACTTCTTTAGAAGTTCCCTCCTAATTGGAATAGGGGACACACAAAGTAGAGAGGGATAAAGAACATTTCTAGGGAGAAGCATACACCTGGATAAGGAAGAAGGAAAAGAAAAAAGAAAAATTGGAAAGAAAGAAGTATGGGGAGAGAGAGAGAGGAGCGTGGGAACGATACACAAGAATCTGAAGAAGAAAGTTAAAGGCAAAAAGAAAATAAAGTAAAGGAAAAGATAAAACAGAAGAAAGTAAAGAAAAAAAGGAATAATAAATAAATATGTGAAATAAGCAAACGACTGGGCTACATAAGGTAATCTTCCAGTAAAGTGATTCAATTTTAAAAGTAGATGCATTTGTATGATAGTTTTTTCAGTAGAGGTGTTGAATTGATGTATTTGGAATACTAGAATGGTCTTTTTGACCCTTTTTCCTTGATTAAATAAGGCAATTTGAGTATGTTTTGAGAAGTAGTTTTGATGGCTATATAATGTAACGAGGTCATTGATGATAGTTGTGATGTTATAGGTGTATAGTTTTTAATATTTGATGATTAAGTTGTCGTTTAACAATGCTAATTATTTCCTATAATAGAAATGGGAACCTTTAGATGGGACGTCCAAAAAAGTCTAGTGAAAACCTTTACCTGGGACGAAGGCAGTACAGTACAATGGTAATATTAGACATGTTGGGGATGGTATCTGTCTATTTTCTTTGTAATTTGATTCTTTATGGATGAAAATATATTTCATTATTTTTCAAGAAAAATACTTCGATGTCATATGTGGATTCATGTTAGCCGACTCCAAACTCTTTTGGAATTAAGGATTGGATGTTGATGTATGAGACGTATGCTGCCGCTATATGTTAGGGGGCTGAAAGGATTAAAACTTTAGATTACATGAGGAACTTCTAATGCTCTAATTTTTCTTTTTATCACAGGGTATTAATCTACCAGCTGTACTTGAGTTCAGAAAAGAGATATCAAAACTTCCTGACATGGAAAGGTTGCTTTCCCGAACATTTGCTAGCAGGTGAATATATTTAGTGGTGTTGAATGCAGTGACATCTCTTAGTTGACTTTTAATCATCGCTAATAGATTTCTCCCGATTGTGTGTTGAATTCAGTGAAGGTAATGGCAGAAATGCAAATAAAGTGGTATTATATGAGGATGCTGCAATGAAACAGCTACAACAGTTCATCTCAGCTTTAAAAGGATGTGAACTAATGGTGTGTGCGTGCACTTCACTTGGCTTGGCTTTGGAAAGCACTAATTCAAAGTTATTACACGATCTCCTAACACCTGGTATGCCTCTATATTAACTCTTTGAATCTTTTTGTGATTTTGTTGTTATCGTATTTTTCTGAATAATGTTCGCAGGTAAAGGACTTCCAGATGTTAAATTTACTCTAAAGCAGTTAAAAGATGCTTTTGATTGGGCGGAAGCAAATTGTTCAGGTCGTATCATTCCTTGCGAAGGGGTTGATGAGGAGTATGATGCCGCTTCTGAATCCCTTAGGAGGGTTGAACTTAATCTTGTGAAGCACTTGAAGGAACAACGAAAGTTGTTAGGAGACGCATCGGTAAAACATGGTTATGAGTTTGAGTTTTTGTTACTTTTAGTCCTCCAACTATTATGTCACCGACACTTTTGATACTCAATTTTGATTTTTCCCACTTTTAGTCCTTTGACTACTGTGCAAAAGACACTTATGGTACATGTTTTTGAAATTTTCATATTTAATCCTCTGACTTTTCATAAAAATGTCGTTTTTGGTCCAACTATTATCATAATGACAGTTTTAACCACCACTTATTGTATAAAAACAATAGGGTATCGGTACGAGTATCATTTCCACTAAAAGTGTCTAATGTGAGTTTCTCGCACTAACGATATGTGTAGCATTATAGAGTATTAGTACGAGTCTCGTTCCCACAGGGACGACGAAAAAAGGAATCAAATGCTAATTTATTTCAACGATTTCGGAATTAAATAAATTAAATGCGAAGGTGCAAGATTGTTTTAGAAAAATAAATGCAGTGAAAATAACGTAAATCTATTTGGGTCTAACGAATTAATGGCAAAGATGGAGCTGACGTTGGTTCTGAGCTACCAAATTTCAGTCACATGAAAGTTATTTAATTGAGCAATGTTATCAATACTAAATTCTTACTGCTCTCGCGGTGTAGAATACAACAATTACGAAAGCAAGACTAATCTCTCATGTGACGAACCTTTACATCATTGTCAAATGAGCGAGTTTACAACTTTTTAATCGTGCTAATCTCCGAGAGAGTGGTAAAGCGTCTGAAGGTGCCCTAGAACAATTTAGATCTCTATTAAATTATTCTTTATGTGATTACAATCCTAGTGGTTATTCCAGGTTATAAACAATAACAGTTAAGTTATCCACATACAAATTAAACAAGAATCATGCAATTAATCCATCAAGAACAAAACCCTAGATCATAATAACGCCCCTTCACCAATCCCAAATTCCTAAATAAAAATAGTCCCTATGCGTAATTAAATGAACAATAAAGTAGAGAATAAAAGATTTACTTGTCATTAATCTAATAAAATAAATTATAAACAAAATTCAAAATTCAATTGATTCAGAGGTCAAAACAATGAATAACTCGTCCAAGACTTCTAACATAATAAAAAGGGTCTAAGCCCACTTTAAATAAAAAACCCCGGATTTGCACCGACATGCGTTCTCTATTACATAATTCAGACTTGTCTCTTTATTGCAACAAACTCCCTTTTCACCCTGAATCTCTTAAATGATTAGGAATCCAATCCAATTCTTCCACAAAAGTCTCCAAAAGCGGTGCCGGGTTGGATTAATCTTAATTCAAAGCTAAATAACACCAAACACAACAAGAAACTTGATAAACCATAACTTGAGTTAAATTAGCACTTTGTGATTCATTTTAGCCAAAAAATATGTATAAAATTGATTCCAACACGCATTGAATGCTTGTAGATATATGGAATTATCAGTATCTCCTGCACAATAGTTGAAGGACTATAAATGAAAAAATTAAGTCGGGTACCAAAAACGTCAGTGACATAATAGTCGAGGGAGTACAAGTGGAAAAAACTCTTATGTGTTATATTTATTCTTCTTATTCTGTTTATTCTATCATTTTTATGTATACCTTATCTTTTATCTTTTTTTTTAATCATAGCTTATCTTTTTATCTTTCTTTTCCTTTTTGGTTCCGATATCATGTGTCGATTCATGTTAGCCGACCCCAAAATGTTTTGGGACTAAGGCTAAGCTGTTATTGTTGTACTTAGTTTCTCAAATCAATAATTTTATTTCAGATTATTTGGTATCATTTCGTGATACTTTTGTTTGATACAGATAAACTATGTCACAATTGGGAAGGATGCTTACCTCTTGGAAGTGCCAGAAAGTTTGTGCAATCGCGTTCCTCAGGAATATGAAGTGCAATCATCCAAAAAGGTGTGTGTCTGGCAGGTCTAGGTTGAAATATTTTGGTAATAGGGATTGTTTTACTATAGAACTATTGACTTTCAACTATTCAGAGATGTGGAGGGTATACTTTTACTTTTTTTTATTAGCTGTGGCAATAGAGTGACTTCATATTGTGTTCACTATTCCCAAGAAAGGCTTTACATGATTTGTAATTTTGTTTATAATAGATAATAATAGTGCCAGCAGAAAACAGTAGGTCATTAGTTTCTTCTGGATGTGTGATTTAAAACTAAGTGAAGACCTCCACACTTCCCAATGGGCCAATATACAGTTCACTATTTCCATCTTTGGCGGACTTTTAATAAACTTTACTTTCTTTCAAAGTGGAATTAGGTGGTTGACTTTTGTCAACATAAATGTCAACAACACAACCTCGCTTTCTTAATATATGTGTAACTCCTCAGTATAAACTTTATATTGGGACAAAGGGAGTACTATATACTGCATGTTCCAAATCAAGAATTCAAATTGGGATCAAGGCATGATTGGTGTTGCAATAAACTACGGGGCATAAAAAGTAATCAAGAAGTTTCCTTTATAACACTGAACTGTGGTCAGTGCCATTCATAAAAATGATTTACATTAACTTGGAAAGATAACATAATGTATGAGATCCCAGTGGAGAAAATAGCTAAGCCAATTCTAGTGTCGCTTGTGTTCATCTATCAAATACTCGATGCTAGACCAGAATCCAAAGGACAGATGAAAAGCACATAATAAAAGTACATTAAACTTATTTGCCTTGGAAAAGCTGCAGTAATTCAGTATGTATTATCTAAATGAGTAAATCAAAACCTTTAACGCATTGTTTGAGTAATCTAAATGCTTTTCGAGGATCTTTACTGCTAAGTTAACAATGTTTTTAGATATTTAAGCATCACACGATTTAACTAGTACCACCTCCGTCCCATATCGGATGTCTTTTTTTAGTTTGACACGATTATTAATAAAGTGGTTGAAAAGTAAAAGTTATGGTTGATATTTGAATAGAATAAAGTAAAATTATATGAACCACATATTTCTTGCCTAACGAGGAAACAAGACATTCATTTTGGGACAACCCAAAAAGAAAAGTAAGACAACCAAAATGCCCAAAATGGGACATAGGGAGTAATGCCTAATTATTATTTGAGTAAAATATTGCAACTTTGTTTATCATATAGCTTATTGTTAATGGTACCGACAATGAGGCTAATGATGTTTTTAATTGGACTGTAATTTTTTGGTTTGGTCTGGTAGATGTCTGTTCTGTGTATTTTACAATTCTCAATGTTTGGTATGATTTGGTTTGTTTAAGTCTGGTCTCGGATCAAAACCAGTCCAATTAAAAACACCCTAAGAAACCTTAACTTTTATTTCCACTAGTTTAGCCCCTAATCATTTTCTGTGCCAGTGGGGCTCAACACATCATTTTATTTGCTTGTTGTGTCAAGAATATTCTGTCAAAATTAAATATATATACCTCTATGCGTTGAAAGCAACTAATGCAGAAATGTTAGGGTTTTCAAGAATGAGAAGAAATGTTGTGGTTAGGCCGTCAGGGTTTTCAAGAATGAAAAGAATTTTTGTGGTTAGGGTGTCAAATGATTTTGAGACCAATGTGGAAAGTGGGCCCCTTTTTCTGTCCCATTTGGGGGCTTACCATTGTGGCATTTGTGGGTGCCCTTGATAGTTACTCCCCTAGCCAAATTAATCTGTCCTGTTACTTTTCATTCTTGGTCTTCCGGAAATAAACTTGTTTACCTTTAAAGAAAGAATTGTGTGGGTGATTTTTCTTTCCTCTTTAAATAAACTTCAAACACACAATTTCACTTTTCTTATTAGCATGCTAGATCAAAACAGGATGATTAATTTTTGTTAGAGGGAGTATTTTCTAGAAGTGATGCGTGGAACTATGAAAGATCATTCTTGACACTGTAAACATTGGATGCTCAGGGTTATTTCCGGTACCGCAATCCAGTTATTAAGAAGCTTTTGGTAGAGCTTTCTGAGGCTGAAGCTGAGAGAGAGTTGACGTTGAAAAGCATTTTTCGAAGGCTTATTAAGCGTTTCTGTGAGCATCATAGTAAATGGAGAGAACTAGTTTCTACTATTGCAGGTGAGAGGTGACGTTATGTTTCTTATGTTAGTTGCACTCTTCTCTTTGTGAGTTCATTCTAGTCTATCACTGCTTATAATGTGAATATGCTAAATAAGTTCATTATTTGCTCTTGAAGGCTCCTTTTGTCATTTGAAATTCGTAGTCTGTATTTTGAGGAGTGATAGCTCTGTAAACTTTCTCATTTTTAGGTGCATTATCCTTTATTCTCTGCCCCAAAATTATTTTCATTTTCCTTGCTTTCTCAGTTTATCCTTATGCTTACATTTAACCTTTTTAGTTGTTAGCCGACCCCAAATTCTTTTGGGATTAAGGCTTGGATGTTGTTGTTGTAGCTAACTTCCTGTATTTTTTAAAGAATGCGTTAAATCTAATGGCATCTTATATTATGAATCAGGGTATCTTTTTCCTTTTCTTTTTGTTCAACAAATGAATGGCCATTCTAATCTGATCTGTCTTAAGATTAATTTGTTCTTTTAAACTAATACTACCTACATCACACTAATATTGAGACATGAACTCATGAAAAGGTGGTGTGGCTATTAAGAAAAGTGGGTTTATATTATATGGTTGATATTGAATTGATAAAAGCCATGTTTGGGAAATGGCTGGTCATCCATTTTTCAGCTTATTTGACCATTTTTAATTGAGTTGACCAGCTAGGTTATCAAAATCTATGTTTGGTAAATATAGCTGGTGGGTTTAGCTGATTGCTCTTCAAAAACTAATTTTCAAAATGCCAGCAACACCATTGTTTGTGCTTGGCTGGTTGGTGTATAATTATTTAACACCTATTTAATCCTTTATGCTCTAACATACGACAACCATAAATACCAGCACACATCATCGACATGTAATCACATACATCGATATGTTATCCTATAATTTGAATGTTATTGTATACCCCCTTATATGGAGAGTAATGTACATACATAAAAAAACTAAGAAAATCATGCATTTTTTACAGATGCATCGATACTTGATCGTATATTTAGTTGTAAGAGGTTTTATTATTTATTTATTCACTTCTCAAATAATTTACTTAAATATTATTTGAATAGTTAGTACTGTAATTAATAAGTAATTGGGATTGCATAATTATTATTCCTAATAACAAATGTTGTCAAGTACTCCCTCCGTCCCGCTAACAATGGGACAAGAGGGAGTGACACGCAAATTAATAAAATGTGGTTTATGTGGTTGATATTGAATTGATAAAGTAAGAATAAAGTAAGAATGATTTAGAGCCACACAAACTTTACCAAATTTGGTATGAGACAATCTTAGTGGGACGGACCGATAAAGTAAAATGGGACAATCATAGCGGGACAGAGGTAGTACTTATTAATATATTAAGTTTTTACGCATTAGCGTTTATCACTAAACATCCAAAATATATTAGTGCCCTATAAATCCAAAATAATTTCTTCATTCAAATAATATTAATTCTTTAGTTTTTTAAAAGAGAGTTTCCTAAAATATTACTAATAAAAATCTATGGACAAAAATGTGACTACAAGTTGCTATGAGTAAGTTTATAGTCACTATGATGTAACATTTGAATACAATTATAGTCAGTAAAGTTACTAGGGTCACACTTTTGTCCATTACTTTTTTTTTGGTTATATATTTGGAATTATTTCTTTTTAAAATTACAAATAAACATGATTTTTTTAATTCTTATTATTAAAATTAAATGAAAATATTTCTTTCAATTTATTTTATTTTTCATATAGTTTTATTTATCAATTTCTAAAATTTCTAAAATATGAATGATTTATACTCCATAAGTAAATGTAGGTAATATTACTCCATAAGCAATAGGTAAAAATAGAATAAAATACTAATGCCCTTATATGTCTTTTTACCCGCAAATTGCCATTTTTAAACATTTCATTTACCAAGCATTTATTGACAACAAACTTACATAATCAGTCAACTAAAATAGCTGACTCAACCAACTAGTGTCAATTAGCTGTCATAACCAGCCAACAACTAACAACTAACAACCGGGCCAAACAAGGCCAAAGTAAGAATTAAGTAAGAATGATTTAGAACCTAACAAAGTTTACCAATTTTGGTATGAGACACTTTTAGTAGGACGGACCGAAAAGGAAATAAGACAATCTTAATGAGGTTATACAACAACAATATTACCCTAGTGCCGCAAAGGCTCCTACATATGGTGAGGTAAGGGGGTCGGATGTACGTAGCCTTACCCCAAACTGTTTCTGGATGACCCATGATGAAAATCGCGTCAAAAATTGCATGGACTGACTGTTGTTCCATAACTAGGAAGCGCAAACAGTTCAGTGAGCCATTTTGCTTTATTTCATCATATTCCCAAGCCAAAAATAATGAGTCTTTGGCTCCATTGGAAATGATGGAAAATAGATTTAGACGTTCGAATTAGATAATTCGACGGCTGTAATGAAGTGTTCAGTGTGAAGTGTCCACTCTTGTCCTTCCGTCCCTTAGATGCTTAGTCAGTTTTTTGATTTGGTGGATTCATGCAATTTTTATTGAAGAAATCCAACACTCACGGGTGTTTGGGGAACACCAAGGGAAAGGTAGCTTCCTGACCACAATGTGACAATGCGTCAGCAACCGAGTCTAAATGTGCAGTTCAAAATTCTGTCAGTATTATATTCCGAGAATTTGGAAACTAAATGATGTTGAGGTGAAGTGGTCAGACATTGTTGGAGTAAAAACTTCAAACTATAACGCCATAACAGTATATGCATGGGATAACTGGTTAAGAAATGTTTTTGCCAATACATGGCAAGGACAATCAAGTCATGCTCATTACTTTGTGGTGTCAAACTTCCAATTTGCGGCTGAAAAAGGCTAGGGTGGAGGATGACTCCAATTGTACTCCTCACACTCTACAACGAGGCGCAATCAAATTGGACAGCCTTAGGAAAAGAGAAAAGGATGGTTGTATTTGCAGATGCGGAATCCAATCCCAACCTTTATGTTTGATGTCCAAATGAATGAGTAATGATCCAAGGGGTGTGACAACGACCCCATAAGTCTTAATAAATTTGTAACCAAAACCTGCCAATCCAAAGAAGCCACGTAACACCTTGACAAATTGAGGACGGGGACACTCACATACAGCTTGCACAGCTGCACTTAATTGTCATCTATCCATGTTGGTTATTGTTAGATGTATTTAGACATTACTAACCCTAACCCTAATCTTGCCCTAATTGTATGGGCCTAGCCTATCTAGTACTCTTCTTGTATAGTTGTATATATACGTCTGCTATGTCACAACACTATATATCCATATTCTTTATATTTTTATGACATGGCATCAGAGCTTTCACACATGATTCTCACGAGTAGGCAAGCAAATCAACATCCATATTAAATGGATATTTGGTAGGTGGATGTGAGCTTTTGGATGGATGGCTTGTCCAGTTCTTGTAATTAGCAGAACAGACAAGAAAGAAATACCATGGGTAGTGTGATAAACCTAGACTCATCATTATGGGGCCTTCTGAAGTTGCTGAAGGTGTTGAATAGTAATCTACTACTTTTATTATTGATATAAGAGAAAATAACTTTTAATACTACAAACTATGTTCCATGAACTAAGAGTCTAAAACTTGACATTTTTCAAAAACAAGTATTCTATTCTTGTTTTATTCCTCAATGAGGACTTTTATAATCCTTAGTTTGGATAAAATACCCTTAGGTTTTAGGGTTAAGCATTTAGGGTTTAAGGTCTATCAAACCTTACATAGGGGTTAGTGGTGGCTGCCCAACAGCTGGACGTCACTGAGTGGCAACTGGTAGTCTAGTGATCAGATGATAGAGACCTAGACAGTACTAGTAATAAGAATACTATTAAGTCTTTTAATATTGTAGTACTGTCTACAATATTCTTATTACTAGTATTGTCTACTGTCTAGGTCTCTATCATCAGATGTCCGGTGGAAGTCCGGTGGTGGAAGTGATTTATTTATGGTTGTACAATAAAAGGGATTTTGGGTAATCCAATACATTTAAATTTTAGTTGTGTTTGTAGTCCCATTTTAGGTAAATGATATGTTATGCTCCTATTTGAGGACATCTCCCATAATCTTTATTTAATTTGTACTTTGAATTCATTTTTCTTTTGCCGATTTTTGTAATTTTGTAGGATGCTTCGATAATTCTCTTTCCCATTTTTATGATGTCTGAGGATACTTGAAGTAAGGTTAAGAAGAGAACTTGAAATAAAACATACCAGTGATCTGTTCTTTGCATTCCACCATTATGTATGGCCCTCACATTAAGCTTTGCCTGTGAATATCTCATTTACTTTGATCTATCTTCTTTATTCTACTATCTTGTGTTGTTTTCCCATATCAATCCAAAAACTAAAAGAACATTGAGATTCTCTGAGAGCACCAGTTTGGGATTGAACCTGATCATTCTCATAACTTCTATATTAATTTTATTTTCATACGATTCTAGTTCGTAGAGTTCCGTTGAACGTGATTACTATAAAGGACCAACGTATGTGTGTTATGTTTTCAGAACTGGATGCTTTGGTCAGTTTATCCATTGCTAGTGATTATTATGAAGGGCCAACATGCCGCCCACATTTAAGGGAATTATCCTCTCACAATGATGTGCCATGCCTAGTTGCTAAAAGCTTAGGGCATCCTATCATTGTAAGTGATTCTCTAGATAAAGGAGCATTTGTCTCCAATGATGTTACACTTGGTAGTGCTGAACATTCGAGCTTCATCCTGCTAACTGGGCCTAATATGGGAGGAAAGTCTACTCTTCTGCGCCAAATCTGCTTGGCGGTGATTTTGGCACAGGTGATTTGAAATCATATGTTGTTCTTTTGTTTGGCATGTTTTCTGTTTAATGACCTCTCACTATTTTTTTTGCAGGTTGGAGCCTATGTACCAGCGGCATCCTTTGATCTGTCCCCCGTTGACAATGTCTTTGTTCGTATGGGTGCTAAAGATCATATTATGGCTGGTCAAAGTACGTTCTTGACGGAGCTCTTAGAAACTTCATCAATGCTGGTGATATATCTTATTCTCTCTCTTTGCAATTTGTTGAAATCCTAACCCTAGCTCTATCTGCTCAGCCCACTTCTTGTAGTTAGTCCTTGTTGTAGCTATAAATATAGCTTTTGTTACAATCCTTCAATGCATTCAATAAGAATGAGTCATATTTTATCTATTATCACAGCCATACATGAGTTTATCTTTTCTTCCTTTTTTAGACAGTGAGTTATGTCATCTTGACAAACAACCCCGCCAGTCATACCTGTAAAGTGCCAATATTAGAGTCACATTCGTGTTTCATTTGGTTCATATTGATGTTTGGAGTCCATATCAAGTCAAATTTGTCCTAGGTTTTGTTATTTTGCTATATTCATAAATGACTATTCTCATTCAAGCCTTTGGCCCCAGATTATTGAAGTTCTGAGCCCTCGGCCTAAGGCCTTTTATCATTAAGAAAAATGATTCTTCTCCTACATCTACCTAAAAAATAGAATCTCCCTCAGCCGATAATCAACACCAAGTGCCAGGCCGAGGGCAGACACAATCACCGGGTATACCATAGCACCAAGTGCTCTAGCCAAGGAAGCCGACACTGCAAAGTCGTTAGTCATGGTTATTTTTAATGAAAGAATGATTTTTAATTATTTTTAATGAAAAAACGGTGTTGTGGTGTGACTGAGAGGTCATGGGTTCAATTCTTGGGAGTGGCATCTTGTCCAAATGACAAATGAAGGCTTGCTTCTTATACACCCTTGTGGTGGGACCCTCCCCAAACCCTCGCCTTGTGGAAACACCAATGTGCATCGAGCTGCCCCTTTATTTGATTTTAAAAATTCGAAATATTCCAATTGTTTGTGCTGGATTTCAGACACAATTTGGTAATTCTATCATAGTTTACGCAATGATACTGTCTAAGAATTTTTTACAACTCCATATAATCAATTCATGTCTTCTCGAGGGATGTTACGCCAGACTTTTTTGCATTCGCACACATAAGAATCATCATTTGGTTGCTACTGCTCGCACTGTGCTATTACATTTCCATACACCATCTCAATATTGGGCCGATGTTTTTCTCACTGCGTGTCACCTAACCTACAAGATGGCTTTGTTGGTAATTAATAATGACACCCCTTATTCTATCTCGTACCCTATATGTGAGTTATTTCCTTTATCACCTCGTGTTTTTAGACGTGTTTGCTATGTTCATGATACAATACCACGATGAACAAAAATGTTTGCTAGGTTAATAAATTGCATTTTTCTTGTATTCACGCCCTCAAAAGGGATATTGTTGTTGTTCTCTAACACTAAAGAAACAGTTACAGCCGATGTCACCTTCACTGAGTCTTTGTTACTACCCAACTTCTTCTATCTGCCCATCCACGTGTACCAACTTCAAACCGTGTTTTACACCTATCACTACTCAAACAAATGCGAGCTCCGAAGTTCCATTAGAAGCCCAACCATATGATCCTTCCATCTCTCCTCGTCTTTTACAAGTCTACTTTTAAAAACTCCTATGCTACCCCTACCAATGAGACTACAAATGTCATGCTTATTGACTCCCCTACTACGAATCCAACTTTAACGGAATCAGCTACCCCTAAGTGAAGACGTCACTCTTAATGATATCATATCATGCCTATTTCCCTTCGGAAAAGTATACATTCTACTTCAAATTCTCATCCCTTATGTAATTGTCATAGCTATCTTCATCTCTCCATCTCTAACTATGCATTTCTTTCACATTTATCTGACACGCATAATACTAAAATCACCTGTGAGGCACTATCACATTCAAAGTGGCGTTGCACCATGTTGACTGAGATGGAGGCTCTATATTCCAGTGGAATGTGGAAATTAATTCCCCTTTCTCTCATGAAATCAATGGCCGGTTGGTTGCTATATACTGTTAAGGTTGGCCTTGACGGAAAAATTTATCGTCTTAAAGCACATATGGTAGCATAGGGGTATACTTAATTTATATATTGGATTATAGTCATTATACTGATATATATTCTCTTGTAGCCATACTGCCAAGGTTGTTATGATCTCGATTTAAATTGTAATATGGTACGACATGTGCACGACAAGTGGTGCCTATGCTTGTACCGTAATGTGCATTACGGTACACATTCCATGATGGTTATCACACCCATCTTGTGACGTCTCATCGGGTGCAGATTCCATATTCACTATACCCTGACAATTGAACAGACATGCCACTATGCCAGTCAGATCTTAACTCATCAAATGTGATCAACAATGACAATATTATAAAGTGTCTTAAACTCAACTAATAAGTATGAGCAGATAAACTATTAGTAGTTCGGACGTGTGATAGAACTGATAGGAAACCATTCCTATGGCATATTACTTGTACTCAATTACTCATCTTTCGAGTAATTGAGTACCAAATCCATAAGCACTTGATGGGTGCCTATATATAGTTCCATAAGCATGGAGGCATGATTATAACGGTGGTCAGTCGAATTCGTTAAACGGGCACTTGATTCATGCTTATTGAGTATATTAAATGTATTGCCATCCGAAAAAGGTACTCTAAATAATAAACATATGGGTAGACTGAACGATTTTTAAAAGTAAACGTACTTCAATGATGTTTTTTAGTATAGGGGCTTAAGTGATGGTTTGGAAATAGTAGAAGGCTCTATTTGACCCTTTTCTCTGTTTTTTTATGTTAGTATGTTACATATATATACCCATATATATACCCTGCGAATGCTACTGTATGAATACCATATTCTTTGTACAACAACATCCAAGTCTTAGTCCGAAAAGAATACCATTTTCTTTGTATTGGATTAAAAAATGATTCTTACTCTATTATAAAAAGCATTTTTACCAAGTATTTCTGAAAAGCATATTATTTGTATACATTTATTTAGATTTAGATTTCACATATTAATTAATTGAATTGTAAAAATAAACAACTTTAAACCATTCAAGAAACATGTGATATGATATATCAACATTTAAGTGGTCATATATCAACATTTAAGTAGCCAATACACACACACACACAGGATTAGGCAATCTTCAAACTCCCATGTTGTATATATTGTCGTCTCTTAATATAAAAAACATAAAACCATAATGCAATAGGAAACGTTTTCTATTATGATGAGTTTATTTGAAGTAATTATTATTATTTCTTACAATTTTTATGTATAAATTTGTATGAAAACCAAGGCCTACGCCTTGTTAGGCAAAGATGGTTATGCAATGCACAATAGTTGCAAACTGCCACAATGACACTATATTCAATTTCAACATTGCTTCTTAGATATAAAAATGTTTACTCCTATTGGATAACTCAAATGTTTTTTAAGTTAACATCACTTTGCCAAAAAAAAGTTAACATCACAGCAATCTGATTAGATATGGGAAAGTGACTATTTAATAAATTTTCAAAGCACTCTACTTCTGGAATACTTCTCTCTTAATGGCATTTTGACTAATGACTATTCAGAACTGGCAAAAAGGACAAAAATCCCATGAGCTCTGTGCATGCTTGTTCCTAAAATTGTTTTCTGATGCTGTAGTGTTATTACTTTAGTCCTTGTCTATTGATTTTAACCTAATTCTGACGGTAATTGCAGTCTTCTGCTACCCGAAATTCTCTTGTTGCGCTGGATGAACTTGGCCGCGGAACATCAACATCTGATGGACAAGCATTAGCGTAATGCATATATACGTATTTGTTTATTTGTTTGCTCAGTTTTGCTGGTGAAGTTCTTATTTTGCAAACTGTCATGGCAGTGCTGCAGTTCTTGAACATTTTGTTCACAAAGTACAATGCCGAGGGTTGTTTTCTACTCATTATCACCGATTAGCCATTGATTATCAGCAAAATCCCAAGGTACATCAACTATTCATCACTGTCCCCAATACTTGAGAATTGAAATCGAGGTTTTCTCAAATTTGGTTTCAGGGGTGAAATTAACACTTGAAAGTATGATACTATTTTCAATCGGGCAACTGGAGACCTGAGAATGTTCTTGTACCAATAGATTACCATCATTATGATCATTTTTTCCTTGTCCAGGTCTCTCTCTGTCACATGGCATGTCAAGTTGGCAAAGGACTAGGAGGTTTGGAGGAAGTTACTTTTCTTTATAAGTTGACACTGGGCACATGCCCTAAGAGTTATGGTGGAAATGTTGCACGGTTGGCTGGTGAGTTTGAATAAAAAAAGGCTTAACGCTGTATGTATATAGCAGGCTTCTATTTTGAATATTTGCCCCTGGGGGGTCGTTCATCTGGGTTGCTGTTCTAAACTCATTTCCTTTTCTTACTTGGACCATTTAATGCTGTAGGGGTTCCTGATATTGTACTACAAAAGGCTGATCAAAAGTCTCAAGAGTTTGAGCGAATATATGACAAGAGGTCAAGATCCACAGGAATGTCCAGTAAGAATTGGGATGAAAAAGTGATAAAAGTAATATGGAGCTTGGTACACCTTGCTGATTATGATGAATGCCGTGGCAGTGATGTTGTTGGTTTATTGATCGATTTACAACATAGAGCGAAAATGCTTTTGGGCTAAGCTAAGCTGAATTAGAGCGGCTTTTGTAATGTTCTCTGACTCACGCATTTGTATATATGCTTCACTGTATCATTTTGAGAGTTATTGCTGCAAGACCGATGTATTTAGTTGCTCAGCTATTCCTCCAGATTAGGCGCAAGTACCGCAAAACATCTGCTTTTTGATAAATCGTGTGGCAGTTTGGGGTGTTTATATTAAGGCCTTGGTTCATAGATCTTAGAACATATCCAAAGTTGATAAGATACAGGCACTGTTTTAAGAAGTGAATTTCGGGTATTGAGTATATAACACCACATCTATACAAATCTAGTAAAGGTTTCACTTTACTAATTTCAAATCTACTTAATCTATTGTGACGGTAAAGTGCTTTCATACTTAATTTGAAACATTGAATAGATTTGTACAATAAAAAGCTGCTCAATGAAAACGTGTTGCATAAACTTCAATTAAAAATAAATCTCCTATTCTACGGAACTCTAAACTCTTGCTTCTGATATCGGTTGTCGTTTTCCAGTGAAGTGGTGTGGCGATGTTTGGTTCTTGAGTTTGGTAACGGGCCTGACACCTTGCATGATTCAGACCGGAAGGGGAGAGCAAAACTTGCGCACAAAAGAAGAAAAGGAGTGAGTGACCGAGTGATAAGGATGCCACATATCTGTTCCCCTCAAACCATAGCCGCCAGACCTGAACCTCGGGTCATCGGGTGACTGGTAGTGAAGGAGCGCTCGGCGGTTGGATTTCATGCACACATGTCCCCTTCACTGCCAAAAAAAAAGAAATAAGAAAAGAAAAAGGAGGTGGCGGCTGCCACCTTGTTGCCTAGGAAAAGAAGAACGCTGGGGCGACCTTCGACCAACGTGGACCCCGGCGAACTAGGACTCTAGCCCAACCCATCGCAGCGGTGGCAACCGCTTGGCCGCATGAAGAAGGGACCGAGACGTGACAACCACCGGTCAACGGGGATGCCTAGTGAGTTGAGATTCCGGCCCGACACGTCACACCCGAGTCACGAAGCACATGTCGATGGCTGCCTGGCAACCTGGAGGGATGGCTATGTCGGCCGGCTAGGCTAACCGTAGAACCTCCTAGGCGACACTGGCCGTGGAGAGGACAACCGCCGGATGGAGGGGACGCCGTCGGATGGTGGGGACGCCGTCGGCCACCAATGAGCGGCACAGACCAGCTGTCGCTTGACTGGAATCCGCTAGGTGGGGAACCCGACCTGCAAGACATTGATTGGTCAGCCTGGTTGCGCCTGGTTGCGCCTGGCCGCCAGTTCCTTCAAGCGGCACCAACCCGCCGGGCGGATCTGCCATCAGCTCCCTGAGTGACTTCGGCCATCGGGGCAGCCAGACCTGCCAGACTCCAGCGAAGTTGCCAGGCGACGGGAAGATGGCCCAAATCGGACCCACAGCCTTGGGGATGGCTGCGACGCTGGGTCGACGGAAGGCAGATGCACGCAGGTTCCAGGAGAGAGAGGAAAGAAAAGAAAGGAAACGAAAGAAAAGGAAAGAAAAAAGAAGGAAAGAAAAGAAAAGGAAAGAAAAAGAAAAAAATAGATAAAAAAGAGTGCGCAAATAATTATAAAATAATACGTAGTAATATTGAATTTCAGGAATTTTTTGAAGCTGAGCTGGATTCTGAAGTCTGGGTGAAAGCTGACTGCTGGAATGCTAGGATGTCAAGGGAATTAATTTGGAGCCTTTTAAGACCAAGAGCCTTATTTAAAATTTGAAAATCTCCATAAATTATGGGATTGACAGAATCCACAATTATGGCTCCTTGGTATGTGAATAATTACTTGAACTACTTCCTCTTAGTCGAGTCTACTACTCGACTAAGGGAGTGGTGACTCGTGATGGGGTTATAGGACAAGCCCCAGAGCCTAATCGGCCCATACCTGAACTTGGACCAGCAGGCCCAAGCCCAGCGACCAAGAGCTCGAGCCAGCCCAACCGATCAGGTCCTTCAAGGAGAGGAAGCCCAAGACGGTCTGCCTTCCAGCCTGGCCAACGACCTGCCCCCAACCCAACGGGGAGCCTGCCTTCCAGCCCAACGAGGAGCATGCCTCCAGCTCAACGGGGAGCGTGCCTTCCAGCCCAGTCAGGAGCCCATCTACAGCCCAGCGGGGAGCCTGCCGTTCAGTCCAACATGAGGGAGCTCAAGCGCCAGCCAGGCCGACCCACCAGCCACGAGCCTGCCTCCAGCCCAACGGGGAGCCTAACGTCTAGTCTAGCAAGAGGGAGCTCAAGCGCCAACCAGATCGACCCACCCGCCACGAACAATAACGGCCAAGGCAATCAATGCACCATTAATTATGTATTTAATTCTGTATTAATGTTGTAATTAATTAGTCATTATTGTAGTTGGCAATTACCATTTGTATGCGCCTATAAAAGGCAATTCGAATTTCAAATGAAGATATGTTATTTCTGGCTACCAAATTCCCTTTGCAACTTTCCTTATTCGTATTACTTTCTTAATTCCTGCTTGAGTGTCGTACGCAGCTTTCCTAAAAGCCTACGAGCATCCTATTTTGGACTAACAACGTCCATCGCTGTCTTCGATGCTCAAACACCAACAAGTTGATGCTCAAAGTCTTCCTCTATTTATCAACTTGTTGTTGGTCGCCAACTCCAGCAATAACTCCAGCAATAACTCCACAAGTGGATAAACGTCTGGCGGTTGTCCTCGTTTTTTGAGCTTAAATACAGTGTCTATGAATGCTTGCATCGTTTTGCGAAGAGATTTCAGAAGGCAGTTCAGTTTTTGAGAGAAGAAATTACTTTTGGTTTTTGAATTCATTTGTTTCAGTTATCGACATTACCCGGTAAAATTTTGGGCCGGTTTTCTTATGGGCTGTATTCGTTAATGGACCTTTTTTTAATGGGGATGGATGTCAATACACCCGAGTGCTGTATCACTATTGTTCACAATAATAACATAGCAAAAGTTCTTAAAGAAAATTAAATAAAAGAAATAAAAATACTCTGTCGTGTGATCTCCCTTTGCAATTGGAATCCATGGTGGGGGTTCAGGAGAGGGACGGATCGCCCCTAGTGTCTCTTCCAACGATTTTGTCTCCGTCAAGAAAAGAATCACTGGTCGTTTAGATTGCACTAGGCCTGTGAGGATTTGAACAGTCGTTGTATTCCCAAGCCCCATCAATTCCAACTTCCAATCGACATACCTCTGTATCTTCTATTGATTCAAGCCGTAAGAGTGCCTGATTCCCTGTTTGATCGCTATCTTGTTGGTTAGGTCGCGATTATCCGTATGCCACCCCCTCTGGTACCACGCCACTGCCCTTGCCCCTAGATATCGAACCATCCAAAGCTGTCCAAAGATCCGGCCGCACGTCGGAGAGGCTTCGTCGATCAACCAAGAAAACCCTAGCTTGACGCTAAAAGCTCCAGTATAAATTCCCCGTGAATTAAATTAAAGGGAAAAAGGTCAAATAAGCCTTCGAATTAACCGAAAAAGTGCAAATCATCCCTTTTATAGGAGACTATGTCCGACCGTCGTCATTTGGGGCGGGGTCGTCGTCATTTGGGGCAGTTAACGGTAGAATTTTTTGATGATTTTTTTTGACATCTTCTTCAATAAGTCTAGTTTACCCATACCAAATTTAAACTAAAAATGCAATCAGGAAGACAGTAAAATTAATGTTTGAAGATAAGTACGCAGTTAAACAGCGCAGTATATTTCAAAAAATCATTTGACAGCCTTCCCGATTGAATTTTTAGCTGAAATTTGGTATAGCTAAACTAGATTTAGTGAAGAAGATAGATAAAAAAATTCATCAAAAAATTTTACAGAGCACTTCCTCAAATAGCAAAGGGGTAATTTGCATTTTTTGGATTAGTTCAAAATTGAAGTATTGAGAGTTGGACTCTGAGTGACACTGGACAGCCCCAAGATTATATATAAGGGGTGGCTATCAGTGCACGCACAACTGCGCTATAAGTGTGACCGTTTTTGACGCGAGCGATTGCTCTATGGCATCAAGATCCGCCGTCATCGCGTGGTCAGTTCTCAAACATCGTCTTTCTACCGACGCCCGAGTTCATTTATATCTGTACGCATATGTTTATTAATATAAAAATAAATAACATTCTAACAGGGGGTCCGGTGAAGACGGGCAGTTAGGAATAGGAGATAACGAAGAGCATGAATGGGCTTGCTCTATCAAAGCTCTTCAGTCCGAGAAGGTTTGCTCAGTAGTCGCCGGCAGCCGGAACTCTCTCGCAATCTGTGAAAACGGCAAGGTATTTGCATTGCAAGAAACAACTTATCATGAGTATGGGCTAAACATGCATTTCAATGTGTTTTATGTCATTCTTTTTGCTGAATAGTTGTTCACATGGGGTTGGAATCAAAGAGGCACCTTGGGGCACCCACCGGAGACAAAGACTGAAAATGTTCCCAGTCCGGTTAAAGCTCTTTCCAATGTCAAGATTGTTCAGGTAATCTCATTTCTCAATGTCAATGCCAAAGAAAGATGCGAACTTTTGGATTTATTTCCGACTTAACTGCTGTATTTTCCAATTTCAGGCGGCTATTGGTGGATGGCATTGTCTGGCAGTAGATAACCAAGGCAGAGCTTATGCGTGGGGTGTGGATACTTGCTTTATATTTCATCTCCATCAATTTTGATTCTTTAGAAAACTTGAAAGAATTGAAGAACGATAAAAATTCTGGACTTTTTTTGAAAGTACTCCCTGGAGTTATGTATTGCTTCCAGGGAAAAAGAGTAATTCCGTGCTCTCAAAATTAACACACTTCAGGTGGGAACGAGTATGGACAGTGTGGAGAAGAACCGGAGAGAAAAGATGACACTGGAAAGCCTGTGAGGAGGGATATTGTGATTCCGCAGCGCTGCGTGCCAAAGCTTTCTGTTCGCCAGGTAAAAAGCTAAGCTCATTGTGCTATTTTCTTTTCTTCGGATTAACAATTTATTGTCCCTTACCCTACCGGCTACCATTGGTGGGAGCCTTAACGGTGATGATGAAGATGAATTAGATGTCCATGATCACTCTTCAAATAACCCCACAAAGAACAATTTCCCTTAACTGTCCTCTATGGCAAGGCACCACAGGTCTTTATTCTTTTTATTATTTTTAGACATCCTGTATGTTGAATTTGCAGGTATGGAAAACAACAAATCTATAGGTTGCTAATCCTTAATCTAAGAAAACACAACAACAATAAAATGCATTAGTAGTCTATAAGACCGTTCTGTTTTTAAGCATCAGTATTTTTTCTTTATCTATAAGTAATTCATTAAGCATCTTTGAGTTCTATATTTCATCATCCAATATATTTGCTACTCCTATTTTTGCTTTAAATCTATCAGTATAGCATCAGTATTAAGCATATTGTTTGCTTCCTATTGGTATATAAGAAAACATTCTTGTTTGTTGACCACACAGGTAGCTGCTGGTGGTACTCACTCAGTGGTTCTTACAAAGGAAGGCCATGTATGGACATGGGGTCAACCATGGCCTCCTGGGGACATGTACCCTCTTAATCTATTATATGTACTTTTTTTAGTATTTAGCTCGCAAGACAATATCAATCTTGTTTCCTGTGCGCAGAAAGCAAATATCAACTCCAGTTAGAGTACAAGGCCTTGCAAGTGTAAGGCTAATTGGAGTAGGAGCTTTTCACAACTTGGCTCTTCTTGATGACGGGGCCTTGATGGCCTGGGGTAATAATGAGTATGGGCAACTTGGAACAGGAGACACCCAGCCAAGATCGCAACCCATCCCTGTTCAAGGACTATCTGGTCTTTCACTGGTTTGTATTATGATTTGCAATCTGGTGGTGTCCCTTTTTTTAACTAAAAAAGAGTTGACTTGATAGTTTCTGTATTTCTCCAGGTTGATATTGCCGCTGGAGGATGGCATTCTGCAGCATTAACAGAAGAAGGGGAGGTATTCAATGTCTTTTAAGTAATGGGGCCTCTATTAATTTGTGCTATTAAGTTTCATACGTCTGGCGTGTATATTGTGCTAGAAAAGATGGACTCTACAGTCTACAGTACAAGTATACTCCCTCCGTCCCACAAAACTTGGCAAAGTTGACTTACACGTAGATTAATAAAGTAAAAACTGTGTGGTTGAAATTTGTGTAGAGGAGAGAGAAATAACGTTAGCCACATATTCCTAACTTTAAATGGAAATGACAAAGTTTTTTGGAACGGCCAAAAAAGGAAATTTGTCCAAGTTTTATGGGACAGAGGGAGTACTAAATAGCAGGTCTGAGGACTTGTCATCACTGTTACATTGTGTTTGGATTCAGGGAACTAGGTTAGTGAAGAGGAAAATAATGGAATTTTAAATGGGGGAGGGGGAAGGGGAGATGTTTTGAACAAGCTTTGGTTTGGGTTGGGTAAGTTCAGTAAAGGAGAGCAGAGGACCGTGGGGCATACCTCACTTGATAGGAGGGGGTGCCACAAGGGAGAGCTCCCGGGTTCAACTCCAAGCAAAGAATTGGTATGTAAGTTGAGATCAAAGCTCAAGTTACATCCTCCCAGATAACTGTACGGTCGGTTCTTGGGGGCTCTAAGGGATGGAGTGTCATCCTTTTTTAGTAGAGGAGAGCATAGAGAGAGTTATAAAAAATTGACGCTTTCTTATTTGGAATACAATGGAAATGAAGTGAAAGTTATATAGAACCCGTTTGGTGGGTGTTGAAATAGCTTAGGCAACTAAATTGGTTGAATCAAAAGCTTTTTATGGTTTGTTTGACTTGGAGTAATTGATTGAGTTCCTAGTTACCAAAAGGGATGTGATAAAGACCAATAATTGCCTAAAAGTATATATAGTTGTGATATTGTGATATAGAATTGATGGTTTGCCCGCTGATGTGTAGTACCATACAAACAACTATGTTTTCTCTGTCATCTTTCATCCTGGACGCATCATCCAATATTTTATGGGCATTAAATTCTTAGTTTGAGTTGGGGTGTGGATGTGTGGTTGTTTGATGTTGCATGTGCTTTTTTGGGTCAGTGGAAAATTTTGGTAAGAGAATGTTATGAAAGGTCTCTACTTGGAAAAGAGCTCCACCCCTCTCATTCCCTTATAAAGATTCTTTTCATTTTAGGTCTGACCTATATCCACCAGAAGTGGATCAGTGTTACCAAATTTCCATAGGATCATTATATGACTCCAGTTTCTTTGACCAGAATTGAACGAGTTTAGCCAAATGCTAAAACATGGTTTAACAGTTCATGGCTTTACATACATGGACTATTGCTTATCTGAGTATAGATGTGGTCTGCTATGCAACTTTATCAGTTTCTTTGTACCTTAGGGTGCCTATGGAATGCAGAAAATGACTGGGAAAGTAGAGAGGAAAGAGAGGAAATAATTTGCCGGGAGAATAAAACATTGGTCCAAACTCAATAATTTTTTTTTGGGAAAACTGTCAAATAGGTCTTCAAACTTTCATAAAAAAGTCAATTAAGTCCTTCCATAGGAGACTTTGTCCGGTGTTCGCAATTTGGGGCGGTTCCCGGTGGTATTTTTTGATGAAGTTTTTTGTGCATCTTATTCATCAAGTCTAGTTTACTCATACTAAATTTCAGCTAAAAATTTAATCGGGAGCGCATTCAAATTAATTCGAGAACGCAACAATGCACAGTTATCTTCAAGAATTAATTTGAATGTGTTCCCGATCGAATTTTTAGCTGAATTTTGGTATGAGTAAACTAGACTTGGTGAATAAGATGCTCAAAAATTTTCATCAAAAAATTCCACCGGTAACTGCCCCAAATCGCGACGGCCGGACAGAACCTCCTATAGAAGGACTTAATTGACCTTTTTATGAAAGTTCGAAGACCTTTTTGACAGTTTTCCCTTTTTTTTTAATATTTGTTTGGAATAAGGTTTGGATGTTGTTGTTGCTGTTGTTGTATTTGTTTGGATTCACTTTTATTTATTTGTATTCTGTAAGTATTAAATGGAGGGAGAGAGGAGAGTATGAATTTGGAGAGGGTGAAGTGGAGGAATATTATACGTGTGGAGGATTGATCTGGTTTTGTTTGTATCCCTTTTTCTCTATGTTTTTAACTCTGATATCATATAACGATTCATGTTAGAGTTTTTAACCCCAAACTGTAATTGGAATGAGGCCTAGATGTTGTTGACATGTTGTTGCTGTTGTGTAATGTTAAGCAATCTAAAGGTATACATAAATTTTCGAAACATTAGTGATATTTTATTTTCCATCATTTGCAATGGAGCCAAAGATTCATTATTTTTTAGCTTGAGATTATGATGGAATAAAGCAAAATGGCTCACTAAACTGTCTGACGCTTCTTTGTTATGGAGAAGCAGTCAGTCCATGCAATTTTGGACGCGATTTTCAGTATGGGTCATCCGGAAACAGTCTCTCCCTACTTTAGTGCAGGGGTAAGACTGCGTACATCCGACCCCCCCTTACCCCACCGTAGGTGGGAGCCTTTGCGGCACTGGGGTAAATGAAAATGATGATTAGTGATATTTTATTTTCCTTTGCATTTTCCGTGGTAAATCCAAACATAAATATCCTTCCTTAACATTTCCTTTCATTTTGCCACCATTTTGCAGAATCAAAACATAGCCTAACTGTTCATCTGAATTTCAGGTTTATGGTTGGGGCAGAGGGGAACATGGAAGGCTAGGGTTTGGAGATGACAAAAGCAGTAAAATGGTGCCACAAAGGGTTCAGTTTTTATCTGGGGAGGATGTTGTGCAGGTAAAGTGGCACTTACTGCCCTTTTCACTGGCATCAAAATTCTGATGTGGACACTTTAAGTCTCACAATCTGCTCCTCACTCATGTGAGAAGATTGTTTGTCTTCACCTATGAACCACGGAACTTTCGGGAGAGAGAACATTTCGTTTTCGAAAAACTCCAAAGTAACTCTTCAAAATCTCTCCAAACACTTGCATTTCTTTTTAAAGATGGTGTGCTCATATTTCCAACGTTTCCGTGCAACAAAGGTCTTCACTATGCAATCCTAGGATAGTTCTATTACTATGGAACCAAATCTTGAAGTTATACTTGACCTCAACCCCACACAAAAAGCCGTGGTCTAAATTAAACTTAGGGTCGTCTACTAAGGCTGCATTGGGTCTCTTACTTTTGAAGATCTAAAATTATAAAAATATTGTCTATGTAAGTATGAATTATAAAGAAGCTCTTATTAAAAAGAAACTTATTGTAGTTTTTTAATTTAAAACTATATGAATATTAAATGATAATATTTGAAATATATTTCTAGATAAAATTGTGTGTAAGGTTTACTGCATAGGCCTAATTTGTATAATCAGCATAAGGCCTCCTAAAAGTTCAAGACGGGCTTGAATTTAACTGCTTATGTTGTTTGATTTTGGCATTCATTCCGTTTGTATATAAGCTTATAAAATATGTTTCCATGGTAAACCCAATGTATGATACAATCTCTCAACCTATATGCTGGCCAAATTTATTCCGGAATTTATGTGAAAAATGCCATGTTGAAGTATATGACATGTTATACGTGTTGCAGATCTCATGTGGAGGCACCCACTCTGTGGCACTAACGCGGGATGGTCACATATTTTCTGTAAGTGTTGTAACATGAGTAAATTCCCTATCTAGGAACAAAACATAACAAAAGTAGTTTTATGTTCAGTAAGATTCAATAGGAGTAAAAAGACATGAGTTGACAAAACTACCCTTAATGAAAACCCTACTTTATATTAGTATATACTTATAAAATAGAAAAAGAAAATAAAAGCATAGCATACACACCAATAGACTGCTCCTGCGTAAGCAACCACCAATGCCACCAGTCGCTGCCAACACCACCCGCCCCTGGAACAGTGGCTGCCTCCAGTCTCCGCTGCTACACTCCGCCGTCGCCGGCCGCCGCCATACTCTGCCTTCACTGGCCGCTGCTATACTCCGCCGTCGCCGGTCTCAACTCTGCTGTCGCTGGCCGCCGCCAGCCTCTGCCATCGCGGGCTGCCTCCGCCTCCACCATGGTCACCGTTAGTCATCTCCGTTGCCGGCACCGCCATCTCCATCGCCCACGCCTCATCCACCGCTGCTGCTGGATTATCTGTCACCGCCGCCTCAACTTGCGCCACCTTAGCCTTTTCTGGCTCCACCATTACAGATCTCAGATCTGAAAATTAAGAATGCTTTAGAATGTCATTTCACCATTTGAATGTCATTTTAATGGCATACATATTAAAACGGAGGAGGTTTCATTGTCATTTTGACATTTTCATGGCATTATAAATATTATTGCAAGTGCCATAATATTGTCATCGCCATGGAGATAGTGCCATACAAATGGCACTAAGTGTGAAAATACAATTTTTATATATGAAAAAACATGGCATTATGAGCATTGTACTTGCCGTCCTGATACTGATACTCTGATAGAGTTAGTATCATAAAAAATGCACCGTGTCAAATAATGCTTTTACATGGAAAAACATTTTATTATTAGTAGGGCTGACATTTTGAACCGAAAAACTGAAAATCGAACTGACAATAACCGAACCGCATTGACAAAACCCGAACCGGACTGATAGGGGTGGGTTCGGTTGCTTCGGTTCGGTTTTGACCTAAAACCAAACACAGAACCAAAGTGAAATGTTCGGTTCAGTTCGGTTCGGTTTCTTTGATAAAAATATCCAACCACGGTTTGGTTGGTTCGGTTGGTTTCGGGTTGGTTTCGGTTTTTATTCGTTTTTTTTAAACCAAAAGTCCATGTATAAAAATAAGAGGAAGAACAATGAACATGCAAATTTAGTAATTTAGTCTAATACGGAGTAATTGAAAACACATTAAAGTAGCAGACAACTAAATGATCACCACCATTCTCAAAAACATCGTTTTTTAACATGTAAAGCAGCAACCAAGCATGAGCTCCATTTTAAAAACAACTAAAAGTAGGTAGTTAAGCTAGTCTGCCATACAATATTAAAAAGTAGTACAAATTTCAGCATGAACAAGTTGATAAAAACCAGTAAGCAACATAGTCCAGTGAAAATAACTAGCAAAAGAGATAAGGTAATGAGCTCTCAATGCATCCTGCTAAACTGCATGGTGAAAAAGTTAGAAGATCGTAACTTATTCAGCCACTAATTGAGCCCAATGTCGGACAAAAGCCCAAGTGTATAAAATAAAATACTTAGTTTTTAATGTTTTGGGTTTTCGGTTCGGTTCGGTTCGGTTCTAGAGAGTCAAAACCGAAACCGAAACCGAATAGAAACGGTTCGGTTCGGTTTTCCCTTTCGGTTTTGGTTTTTTCTTGATTCGGTTGTATTTTGTTGCGGTTCGGTTATTTTTTGATTCGATTTCGGTTCTCGGTTTTCTGGACCCAGCCCTACGGACTGAATCGATAAATTTTGGGACCCGAAAATCAGGAACCGATAAAAATTGGTTCAAAGTCGGTTTATATACACAAAATATTGGTTTGGACCAAACCAATTGTTATTGTTATTATTATTAATAGGAGAAAATAATTTAAATACCCCAAACTTTGAAATGGTGTGAGGTAAGCACCCCAAACTTACATATGTAATATATATATATATGCTGAACTTTACATAAAAAATTATGTTAGCACCATTACTATCACCACTATGTACTCCCAATTTGTAAGATACTTTACGTTTTACGATGTTTGACCGACGATAAAGCAAATTGATCCCTATCAACATTCAAATTAGTTTTAGAAAATAAAATTTATATATTCAGAAACTACATTAAAACCGCTGCAAAAAATAATTCAAATTTCATAAACTTTTGATATATAAAGTAAAAGATTAAGAATGATTTATGTTGACCAAGTGAATAGTAAATGTATCTTACAATTTGGGCCTGAGGAAGTATTTTTTTATTCGAAAATGTGAACTTATGGTGTTAAACACATGGTTGAAAATACTTAAACAATTATAGTGGTGTAGTTAAAGCGTAATAAATTTACATTGTGAAAGAAAAAAACATATGTTCATGATACTAATATTATTTTTTATATAAAGTTCGGGGTATAAATATTACATATGAAAGTTTGGGGTGCTGCGATCACATCTCTTCAAAGTTTGGGGTATTTAAATTATTATTTTTCCCTTATTAATAATAATTGTTACGTAGTATTATTATTAATAATCATAGTTAATGACGTTTAGAAAAGATATATTACCTGTTTGGGTGCATTACGGGTGCGTTGGTAAGTTGGTCATCCATTGCATAGGTCAGTAGTTCGAATCCCACACAGGTCTTTTTATTTTTTACTTAGTACGGAGTATCATTTCAGTTTTCAGTCTTTTATTATAAAGTTTGGGGTATTTTTATTATTATTTTTCCCTTTTATAAATGACCTCAGTATTGTAAACTATTTTACATACATTAGATATACAACTCCGTCCCATTAGAAGGTTTCTATTTTCTTTTTTTGGACGTCCCGTTAGAAGGTTCTCATTTCCATTTTAGGAAACAATTAACAATCTTAAGTGACAAATTAATCATTAAATATTAAAAATAATACATTTATAACATCACAATTATCAATACTAACTACATATAATATATACCTATTAAAATTATTTTCTCAAAATATACTCAAAGTAGTTTATTTAATTATTATTGCTTAAATAACCGTGTCGTTTTGCTATGTGAACCTTCTAACGGGACGGAGGTAGTATGATTCACTTTGGTGTCCGTCCAATAAAGTTACTCTTCGAGTCTTTGATGTTTTTGCTGAAATGTGTTGAATCCGCTACTTATGTTTTTGAGTAATTTTTTGTTATATGTGGTGTAACAAAAAATTCCATTTTGGTTTCACGACTATTAGATCATTCCCTACCCAACTTTCTTTGTTTTCACATTTGGGGCATGGCTATGATTTATTGTCGAATCCATCCGTACAAAGATTAACAGGGAATTGAACAAATAAACTTCATAGTCGTGGGACCAAAAGTGAAAATATGATTTTGGTGTTTGGCAGTTCGGGCGGGGAGACCATGGACGACTAGGGTACGGGAGAAAAGTGACCACTGGCCATCCCTCAGAAGTGCCCGTCAAAAAAATATCACCTCCAAGCGATGTCACTGAGGCAGGACATTGGTGTGCTAAGCTTGTGGCATGCGGTGGGCGTCACACACTCGCAATCGTAGAATGGCGGGCGCACTCATGAACTTACTTACCTGGCTTGTAATTATTATAATGGACATTCCTATGTTTTAAATCTACTATACTATAGTCTGAAGTTAATGGTCGCACGTCAAAATTTTCAATATTCAATAGCATGTGGTTTTACACTGCTGAATATTCAACAACATATCAACTGTAATCTCCTCCAAACATTGTTACATTACTCCCGAGTCCTGTCCAAATGCTTACTGTTTCATTTGTTCTTTTTTTTTTTTTTTTGAGACTGGTTCTACACTGTTGAATACAAAGTACTGGAAAAACATAAAGTGAAACAAGTCAATAGAGTTGCTTTCAGGGAGGCAGCAAAGGATAAGATAAGGCATGAGATCCTTCTAGTGGTGGATTGGGCTGGGACCGGGTCGGACGGGGATTTTTTTTGTTCAATAAAATTCAATGTATATTTATTGAAATATGAAGTACAATTGATAATTCAAAATAATTTCAAACATTAAATACATTTTGTAAAAATTATTCGAAATCTTTGCCAGCGTTGGTCGTTGTTTCTTCCATGAAGTGGCGGTCGAGGGCGATGCAAACTTCTTGAATTCTATGTTGTGTCTTCAACCAATTGTGAAAGCAAATGAACGTCTCAAGAGATTGTGCGCTCAATTTTGTTCTATAATCGGTTAGGGCGTTGCTGGCAGGCTGGCAGCGCTAAATTCTTCTTCCACAGTTACTGTTGACACTGACATTGATAACACTTTCTTCGCCAACTTCGATATAATCGGTTAGTGATGGTACCATGGACTCTGACCATGACCCAATTATGGAATTATGGGTCAAGCCCATAATGGGATCCAGCCCATAACGGGATCAAGCCTACAACGGGATCCAGCCAATAACGTGATCAAGCCCATAACGGGATCAGCCCATAAACGAGATTAGTATTAACTAGCTGCTAGGCCCAATTAGGAATCAGACTCACGACGGGAACCCACAACCAGGTCAGGCTAGACAGCACACCTCGAGCCTGGGCGGAGTCCTAGTGAGGTCGAAATATTCCTAGGGCTACGTGGCAGGCTATCATTCGTGCATAGCTATCTGGTAGCAGGCAGAAATAACGGAAGAATGTGGACTTAAAGGAACAATCATTGCACAAACGGCCAAGACGTTACAAGAGTTCTATTCGAAGTAATATGTAATTAATAGCATTTATTGTAGCAGTTTCATCCTAGAATACTAGTTCCTGTAGTATATAAATACTTCATGTAATTCTCCTATGAGGGGATCGAACTCCTAATAATAGAAGCACTGCCTTACGCTGCCATATTTTCATCTGCTCTCGTAGATATAGCTCTCGTAGTTGGATTATACCACATAAGTTAGATATAAAGAAAGCTTGTTAATCGAGCTTTGTACAACATCATGAGTTCATTTATTTATTTTCATAAGATTATCAAATGTAGATTTAAAAAGTGATTTTCCTTTAGATGAAGAAGCAGTTGGTTTCGGGGGAGGGGGTGCGTTAGCATAATGTGCATGAAACTCATAAAATAATTGATGAAATAAGTCATTAACCCCGTTGTATTGCTCTTTAGGATCTATGAGCCTCGTAATGGACTGAAAAAACAAGTATAATAGTGCACTATACAATTTTGATAACCATGTATGTTGGTCCAAAATTGGACGCTTGTAGCCTTTTCGGGAATGCTACGACAGAACATGAAAGGTCCAAAGGTGGTTTAGTTGTCAGAAATAGTCTGTCTATTATTTGAACTACACTTGCCTTTTATAGGTGTATACAAATGGAAACTGTCAACTATAATAATAACTAATTAATTACAAAATTAATACAGAATTAAATACATAATTAATAGGGCATTAACTGTTGGCCGTTACTCTTCCTGGCTGGCGGGTCAGTCTGGTTGGCAGGCCTGACGCTCTAGCTCCTTGGACGACAGGCTTCCGCTGGGCTGGAAGGTAGACTCCCAGCTAGGGATGGACCCGGGCCGATCCGGGTGGGCTTTTTTTTCAAATGGTTGGGCCCAGAACCGGCCCGGGTTGATACCGGGTCCGGTCCTAACCGGGCCGGGCCAGGCCTGGGTCAAGTTAAAATATTTTTTTGCTTTCTAACTAACCCCCGACCCCCCCTTCACCCCCACCCCCAACCCCCCCAAAACTCCCAGCCCTAACCAAGAAAAACAAAAAAAGCCTGGGCCCGGCCCGAACCGCCCGGGCCGGTTCAACAAATACTGGGCCCGAGCTCGGCCCACCCACCCCTCCCCAACCGGGTAAAAGCCCAGACCGATTAGCACCAACCGGGCCGGTCCGGGCCCGCACAGTGGCGGGCCAGGCCGGTTCCGGGCCGGGCCGAACCGATTGGGTCCATCCCTACTCCCAGCTAGGCCGGACCTCTGGGTGGACCAGTAGGCAGGCCGTCTAGGGCTTCCGCTCCGCTGGACCTTTGTTTTGTTGGACTTCCGCTCCTTGATTGGTTGGACCGGCTTGAGATCTGGGCTGCTGGGCCCACTGGTCGATCTGGCCTGACGAGATAATGGACTCGGGCTTGGGCTGCTGGTCCAGGTCGCGGGCCTGGACTCCCGGGTCCAAGTTTGGGGCCCGAGCCTATAAGGCTCCATGTCTAGTCTCATAACCCCATGACGAGTCTCTCACTCCCTTAGTCGAGTGGTAGACTCGGTTAAGAGGGACATGTCCAAGTCAGCTGCCAATTAAAATATATTCACATATCCGGGGTAATGATTGTAGATTCAGTCAATCTCACAATTTATGGAGATTTTCTAATTTTAATAAGGATCTTTAGCTTTAAAAGACTCTAAATTATTTCCCTCAGAATTCTAGTAGTCAGCTTTCTCCCAAATTGTGAGCAATCACATTAGCTTCATTATTATATTTTTCGAACATTGTTTTTTTCTTTTCCTTTTCTTTTCTTTTCTTTTCTTTTCTCTCTCCTAGACTCCCTGCATGTGTGCGTTTGCCTGACCTAGCGCCGCAGTCAGCCCCCAAGGTTGACCGACGTGTATGGGTTTGACCCCCCGTCTCGCTAGGCTCCCTCACAAACCGACGGCTTTCCAAAGGTGTTCGACGGCGGCAGGCTCGAGCTCTCTAAAATAAGCCGGCTTGATTTTAGGAGAGTAACAAGCCGCCTTCTTTTGAATTTTGAACCATTCATAATTCGAAGCACCACTCAGCATTAAATGCGGCCTTAATGTGATATGTGCCTGCAGCTCGTCACAACTTCCAACTCGCCCCACCAACTTCAGCACTCGAGTGCTTGGGTAGCGGTTTCCAAGCGGTTTTTTGAAAGTGTCCTAGTATTCGGCTATTTAAGCGCACACACTCCTTCAATAGAAAAACATCTGCAAAATCTCTCTCGCACAAGCTTATTATTCCTTTGGTTGGGAACCCTAGGCAGCAAGAATCTCCTTCGTCATCTTCGATTTTTCGTATCAGGTCAGTCCCATGCCTTCCTCTAGTTCTGTTCCCTCCATAACGTTTTCCCTGATGACGAGGCTAGTTCAAATCGGCCCCACGTTCCAGTAGATTCCCATGGGGTTGAGACTCATTTCTATCTTTCTGCTGACTTCGCCTAGGGGGTTCTGGCCGCTGCCCTTTCCGATTCTGAATTTAACGAGGCGGTGGCCCTCGCCGGTCCCACTGTCATCTGTTCTCGCCACACCCCTAGTCAGAATATAGTGAAGCCCCCTTCGCCTTCCCATTTCGGGGGTTCATCTGGCGATTATACAGGTTGGGCTACGGTTCCCCCTTCACCCCGCTCTTCTAGACATTATGCGCCATTATGGCGTAATTCCGATCAACTTTCTCCCACCACCCACTTGTTTATCACCGGTTCATTGCCCGGTGTATTTCTTTGAAAATCAAACCCTACCTCGACATATTCCTCAATTTCTTTCAATCTGTAAGGTCTAGCGCCTCTGATGCCTAGGGTTATTTCTCTATCTCCCAACGGGCTGGTCATCGTTTATTTGCGGCCAAGTCCTACCCGGATTTCTTTAAGTGCTGAAGGCATAAATGGATTTGAGTCACCCAGGTAGACGGCAGGCTCCCATTCGAGAACAAATGGGGGGAGCTAATTCGAAGGTGGGTGATGCCAATCTTGCTAGAAGGGAACGAGTTGGCCGCCAAGCTGATTGCTGCTGGCTCACCTTTCATGATGGGGCAATACATAGGTGAGGATGGGGTGGTTATGCTTGAATTCAGATCAGGTCGGCAACGCCTGATCTTGTAGTTGCTTTATTTCCCTCGTTAATTGATTGTGTCAACCAGTTGTAACAAATTTTCTTCTGTGATTCAGAGGGAGGAAAGATGGCATCCCGACTGGAACAACTTGCGGCGAAGGCTGGATCCACCCCCGCCCAATGGGCCCACTCAGAAAAATCCAAACCCGGGGCGCTGTTGAGGCCACCTAGGAGAAATCAGGGGATCCGTCCCCGGAGATGGTGCTTTAACTCTTGCAACGCCACCTGCCGACCTCCAGCCTCCCATTACCAGGGGCGGGGAAGAGGTTGGCATCCTAGCCCATCTCCGGGCCCAAGGGGAAGAAGAACCGAGCTGGGGTGAAACCTTCTGATGGCATTGTCGATGTGGACTCGGACTCTGATGCGCAGTCTCTGGAGGGTGGCGGTCAGGGGGATGCCCCATCACCTCTCCATACCATAAAGCTCACCATGCGGTCGGGCTCAGCCCTCATGTTTCGTTGCACTGTGAACCTTGTTTCCCTGGCCTTAGCTGTCACACCTCCTGCTGATGCGGAGGAGATTCAGGATCTGACTCCCCTCTTTGCCATCCGGCGTGCGGTCCATACTATGTCTGAGGTATGTCTCCCTCTTGGCCTTCATGCTATCTCTGCCTTTATGATTTCGTAAGTTCGTCTCTTACGTGAAAGAGTTTTCCCGCTATAGGCCTTTGTGCTTGCTGCTTCCGGCTCCCGTCGTCTAGATGAGGATCACGATGATGCTCATGGCATGCTTGTAGACCTGAAGAAGAAGGCTGCAGATATGCAGCAGAGGTTGGCGTCAGTGGAGGACCAAAGTGACAACTGTGAAGGAGGTCAGAACGCTGCAGAAGAGGTTGGATGACGTGGAGGCCGCTCATAGGATCATGGATGGGGGAGATGAGGAGGAAAGCGGAAGAGGCCGGCTTTCCCGTTGTTCAGGCCTTCCGAGAGGGTGAGGCTTTCAAGGCGAAGTGGAGCAGATACTGCTTGGCCTCAAAGCTCAAATCGCCCAGGATTGGCTCCCGTCTCCAAAGGGGGAGGCAAGGCTAGATGAAGAGGGGACCCTGTGCTTCAAGCTCGACCAGTACAACATGCAGAAGTCCCTGTCCGAGGCCCTGCAGAAGAGAGATCCTACTTTCTCTGCCCATGCCTGGGGGATGCCCGATTTGATGGCGAATTCCGAAGCCCCCCTAGAGAGCCCTGCCTTGGCTGATCTTACCCTGGAAATTCCTCCCTCCTCCACCAGTAATTAAACTGCTCTTTCTGAACACCTATAACAAATACTTTTCCCGACCTGCGTGTCCGTTGTTGTTTTCCACCGTTGGGGTGGCTTGTAACTAGAAATCTTTACATTTCCTTCTCTTGCATATATTTCACTTATCATCCTTTGATCTATTCATGTTTGATCCGCTGCTCTGGTTGTTTGTATTTCTGGAATCTTTGAGGCCTTCCAGCCTTACTCTAGGTTGGTTTGCTTTCCTTTGGTTGTTTTAGCCTTTTGGGAAGTTTACTTCTGGTTCTGCCTTTAATTGGGGCTTGTGTGTTTCGGGCTCCAGGATGGCCTCCAAGCCCCTCTACTTGTTTTGTTGCTTTATGCTTCTTAGTCTGTTCTGGTCACAATACCCTTGCTTGTTTTATGCCTTGAATTCCCGGTCAAGGTCATCTCTCCCGGTTTAAGGGAGACTTGACCAACCTCCTACCTTTAGACTCTTAGGTGGGCTCAATCAATTATTTTATTCAGTTCAGATGGTTTATTCATCACACAAAATAAACAGCTTCGTGTACAAATATATCACTTAATCTAGAGAGACATCTTAACCAACACAGACGTTTTAATCCGGATATGACTTAATAGAAAAAGTAAACCACCCCTTACTTAATGAAGTGTGACATATTCATTGAATTATCTTGGCTTTTCTTACATTTTGAGATTCATTAAACTTTAAAACTTTCTCTTAGACCCACTCAAAAAAAGAATGTTCTCTTGGACATATATTTATTTTCTTACGATTTTGTGGTGCTACTTTTTTGAGTTTATGGATGATGATGTCTATTTTTCTACGTTTCAAAATTTGTTAAGTTTTAATTTGTATGGTGGTATGCCATTTAATTTATAGATTTGTGGTTAGATATCTTGCTAGCTAATTCAAAACTAGTAGTATGTTTTATACTTTTATTTTGAATTTTAACTACTTCCTCCGTTCATAAAAGTTGCAACATTGTAATTTCTGCACTATTCACACACCTTACTTTGACTACGATTTTCTAATAATATATATAATAAAAATATTATGTATAAAATATTAATAAATTTGTATTAATGTAAATTTCCAATATATTAACGTTTTTTAATGTTTACTAATACACAAATAAATATAATTACAGTCAAAGTTGCGCGTTGGCAAACGTGAAAGTCAAACTGTTGCAACTTTTATGGAACGGAGGATAGTATATTTTAATGGCATTGAGACTTGATTGGTTGGAGAATGTTATTGCTCACTAGATACTTTGTAAGCGTAGTAGTAATTTTTACAAAAAATTATAGACGAGAGAGAATCTGGATCGAATCGGTCCATTTCAATCGGGCTATATTGATGACTTTGCATGAATTAGCCCAAAAATTACGAAAGAATGAATTTATAAGGAAAAATGAATGGAACGAGAGCAATCGCACAAAGTTTACCATGGAATGAAATGAGAGCAATTGCCGCAATCATTCATTCAGTACCTCCCTCTCATTTACTCCCACGAGCAGTGCACCCGCTATATGTATTCCGTGGGATGGGATCGCGAATGAAATCAGCATCATCCCCACGAATCCATGCCCGGGCAATCAGCGAAGCACCGCAGCACAAGGAGTTTGACCCTTGACTTCGTCTTTCTTTCTTGTGACATGCGCTTGAGTATCCGCCCTTCTACGTTTCGTCCTCTTGTCTTTGGATCCAAGCCTCATCTTCTTCCCCGAGACTTCGGAGCAATGAAGTAAGTTCTTTTGGCATTTCACTTGATCTTCGTGTACCCGTATCTGTATTACGTTGCTGTCTGTTCAACTTTTAGCTTCTGGGTCGTAGTGACATTATCATTCAATCAATTTCTTCTCCTTTTCTAATGGAGTGGTAGATCTCTTGAGGATGAATACATTTTTTTGGGATTAAAAGTTCATCTTTTCCTGGAAAAGAAGAAAAATAATCGCAACTAGAGGTTGAAAACAGTACTCCGTATGATTTATTTGATGTGTTGCATCTAGACTGCTTAGTGCATACATCTTCTCATCAATTGGAATAACCTTTACATTAACTCATAGTAGTTGGGAAATTGGATTTTTCTTTCTTCCCGATGAAAGATAACATATAGAATGTCTGTCTGCCTCCGTGGGCAGCTGTTGTCAGTGAACTTTTATGTAGCACCCATACTTCAATCATGTGTAGTATTTGCGTTACAGAAACTTGTACGCATTTGGAATCTTGAAATAAAAATATAATGCTGTGTATTCAGATGGATCCTGTCATCAAAGATATTTGTGTAATTTTTTGGCTGGTGCTTGGGATTCAATGATGGTTGCTCTTGCTAATTTTTCCTTTATTTTGTCCTTCATATTTTGTTTTTATCCTTTTAGTTGAAAGGATGCTTATTTGCATTTGAGGTTGCTCAATTTTCTCTAAAGGATGACCATTTACCTTGCTGGATGCACCTGGATCATTGTACTTCTGAATGTACCTTATATGAACTGCTTATTGATTGATGTTTGTATTGTTTGAAAGCACATTAAGTATAGACTTCAAAAACAAACCAATCAGTTATGAATAAAAAGCTATTATTAATATCAAATCATCAATAACATTTTGTAATAATGTCATATTATTACATCTGAGTTTACCTTACTACCTTATATGAACTGCTTATTAACGGATGTCATAACTTAAAAGTGCACTAAATATAAACTTCACGAACAAACTGATCAATAATTAATAAAATAATGATGATGATGATGATGAATACTCTGTATATGGCATAATTCATATTTTTTTTAAATAATGCAATAGTACTATTAATATTTTTAAATGAATAATATGTGTGTGTGTGTGTATTTGCAAGAAATTTGTATCTACATTTATGTCTTTATAATTTTAAATGTATACAAATATATCTATGTACCCACATTCTACATTCTATAGATTGTTGTATTGCGATATTTGTATCTGTATACTGATTATGTGGAGATGATACCATGATTAAAATCATCATTAAGATGGCAACTTTTCTGGGAGTATAGGGCCCTTGTTTACACTTGGCATCGAGAAAAGTTCTAATTGATGTGCATTTACCGATCTCCTTCATATGGAAAATGGATAGTTCATTTTGAACTTGGAATGCTTATTCAGTAGTGATCTGATATCTTCGTTTTTAATCTTTATTGTGGGTGGAATTATGTGTACATTTATTAAGACATAGGTGTGATCCTAAAAGTGTAATCAGTCAGGACAAGTAATCCAAATCTCATTATTGGTTTGTTATGACAAAGTCTTCACCGATACTTTTATCGAACTTGATCATCTACTCGATCAAATGTATATTTTCAATTTTTCAATACAAGTTGGCCGAATGCGCTTTCAGAATAATGTGATGGTTTTTGAATTGAAAATTATTACAGAGCAAGGAAACTTTGTGGAATTTCTCTCTCCCTTCTAATAATCAACATGGCCGCGATAATGGAGCGTGCTGATGAGAATCTCCTTCCAGCTGTATACAAAGAAGTCAGTGAAGCATTTACAGCAGGGCCGTCTGACCTGGGATACCTCACATTTGCCAGAAACTTTGTGCAGGGAATTGCATCACCTCTGGCAGGTATACTGGTCATAAACTATGATCGCCCAACTGTACTTGCAATTGGTATAGTGTGCTGGGCTCTGTCAACAGGGGCAGTGGGTGCAAGCCGGTATTTTATGCAGGTTGTGCTGTGGAGAGCAGTGAATGGCTTTGGACTGGCAATCGTAATACCAGCACTTCAGTCCTTCATAGCTGATAGCTATGTGGATGAGGCAAGAGGGACTGGATTTGGGGTTCTGAATCTTATTGGGATAGTTGGCGGCATAGGAGGTGGATCTATTGCTACAGTGATGGCTGGTTACAGCTTTTGGGGCCTTCAAGGATGGCGTTGTGCGTTTATCATGATGGCCACATTGAGCTGCTTGATAGGGTTTCTTGTCTTTACATTTGTTGTTGACCCGAGAAAACTAGTTAGGATTGACCATGATAGTACTAGAACTTCTGAAAGGTAAATGAGTTACACCCATCTGCACCTTTATTAGTTTTATTTAGGGATTTTTCCTTCAATATATTTAATTACATACCAGTTAGGCAGAAATGATAACTTTTTATTATATTACAAGTCTGTCACCAACTCACTTGCAAACAATTATGGTCAGCTACTTGTTAGTAACTGCATTGACAAATGGTAATTGTTGGCTGATTATTGGTAATTGGTAACATATTTTATCCTAAATTTCATAATCTAACATTTTTTGCCAATGGGTATTAATAAGTGCAGTGTAATATTTATGAATTTTTTCTTTTTATTTATAGGCAGTGTTTAATTTGCAACCCAATATTATTAGTTCTATTTTTATTTGTGTTATTTGTTAACTTGTGTTGAAAAATTAATTGTGACTTTTATTGATAGGATAAAAACTTATAGCCTTATAATTTCTAGAGAATATGAATGTATCATAATGCTTATATAGTGAAATAATGGACCTATAGCCCAGGAGAATGGGAAAAATAAACCTTAAACTTAATAGGAACTGGATACTATGATAATATCATAGTAGTACAATACTTTTAAAACTATGAGGATTTTATTACTACTATATTTTATCAACTTGATTGTTAAAGTAATATGATTGATTGATTTATGTGTTCCTTAGAGATGAATTAATACAGAAGGGAAATGCTAGTTCAATGTCAATTTGGGTGGAGTCTTGGACCGCCACAAAAGCAGTTATGAAAGTGCCAACATTTCGGTACATCGTGCTACAGGGTCTGGTCGGCTCAATTCCTTGGACTGCAATTGTCTTCTTTACACTATGGTTTGAATTGATTGGTAAGAATGCTGCACCCGAGTTTATTATATAGTGCTTTTTCATCAAACGGTTTATTATATAGGATTAGAGTCCCACATCAGAAAAATAAGAAGTGATGGCATGAGAGCAGATTTTAGTTGAACTTGCTAAGAGATCTTTAGTGTGGTTTGGGCGAGGTGCCTAATAGCCGTGTTGAGAGACTTCAACTCCATCCTAATTTTATTATATGGTATGAGAGCAGATTTTGGCTCACTTTTTCTATCCGGTTGTCCATCTTGAAGACCATCTCCAGCTGTCTTTAGCCTGGTTGCCCTTATTTCAGATGAAGAGGAAGTCCAGTTTGCAAGGGACCAACTGGTTAGATTTAAAATGACCGGTTGTCTACTTGTGGGGGGTGTTTCTTAGAGTTCTATATCAGACGGAAAGATAAAGAGAGAATGGTGAGTAAATATGACTTTGGGTTGAACTAGCTGTTGGATTGGATTCACCCCAACCCAATCTTGAAATCTACCATAGTGCTTCATAATTTACTGTAGTGTAGTATCTATTTCCTCACTCATTCTGATTTGGGGTAACTCATCATTCAGGATTTGATCATAACAGTGCAGCTACGCTCGTTGGGCTTTTTGCTGCTGGATGTGCTTTGGGATCCTTCCTTGGGGGAATAATAGCAGATCGAATATCAAAAGCATACCCTTATTCGGGACGTATCATGTGTGCACAATTCAGTGCTTCTATGGGCATCCCTTTCTCTTGGTTCCTTCTTCGAGTCATTCCTCAATCTGTAGCAAGCTACAATACATTTGCAGCAATCTTATTCCTAATGGGGCTTACCATAAGTTGGAATGGCACTGCCACTAACGGTCCCATGTTTGCCGAAGTTGTGCCTTCAAAACACCGCACCATGATTTATGCTTTCGACCGTGCTTTTGAAATATCCTTCTCTTCTTTCGCCGCTCCCACCGTTGGTATCCTTGCTGAGAAAATTTATGGGTATGATTCCAAATCCGTCGATCCGCTTCTAGGGTCTCCCCGAGAGGCCTATGCGCTTTCAAGAGGCCTGTTTGCAATGATGGCAGTGCCATTTGGTTTGTGTTGCTTGTTCTACACACCGTTGTATTGGACTTTCAAACAAGATCGTGAGAATGCTAGAGTAGCCACTACAAAAGAAGCAGAGATGTTATGATTTGTCATACCAAGGATCATTGCTTGTCATTCAGACATGGAACGTGACGCCCCAGCCTGAGGCTCAGACACAATGCTGGACTCGGTCTGTAGTTAGATATAACCGTCCTACAGTTCAACCTTTGTGGGCATCCTGTTGTACACATAGCTCAAATACTTGTACAATAGGTCTCCAACTTTCTCTGATCTAACTTATATAAACTCTATACATGACAATAATTAGCTTCCATTTCTGTGTACGATTTTCCTTCATTTCATTCTTCTTATGGCTTCAAGATATGGTTCATCAAGGTTAGGGATGGCAATTTAACCCGACTCGATAGATACCTGCACCGAACCGAACCGGTCAAAATGGGGAAAATCGCTTTGACTGGGTAACGGGTACGGGGCGGGGAATACCTGATTTATGTAAACGGGTAATGGGGCGGTTATGGTTTTATACCTACCCGCACCGTTAAATTTGGATACGGTTACCCGCATCATTACCCGACCCACACAATTAACTTACATATTTTAATAGTTTATGTATTTATTATTTAATATATTAAGTATATACGAATAGTAGTACATTAGTATATGACACTTATTCCCTCTAATTTTTTGAAAAATATTCAACCAATCGGCTATCTTTTGCAATTTTGAGGAGTTGGTGCTGAAAGTTCACTATTTTAGATTTTTAATTTTCATAATCATTCATCATCCTTCCTTTGTTAACTTCTACAAGATTTTTTTCTTCACATATTGATTATTTGATTTTCGTCTCTCTGTGCTTTAGTATAGGGGTAAGATTGCGTACATCCAACCCCCTCTTACCCCACCGTAGGTGGGAGCCTTTGCGGCACTGGGGTAAATGAAAATGAAATTGATTATTTGATTTTCGTGATTTTCTGTACACAATTTTCCCATTGTGACTCTTTATTTTTCACCTAATAATTTTCATAAAGCTCACATATGAGTTTAAAGTCCAAATATTGGGAAACATTACTCTAGATTGCTTTAATTTATGTAATTGCTAATAATTTTGTAGAGGTGTATTGGATGATTAGATTAATTTTGATTTATTGCTCTATTTTATATCAAGTTTTAAATTTAAATTATGAGGTTTCTAAAACAGTTACTACAAGAATACCTAAATCATAGTATTAGAAGTACATTTTTAGAAATAATTCCAAATCTATAATCAAAATAAAAGTTGTGGATAACAATGCGACTCTAGTAACTTTAGTGTTTATAATTTTATTCAAATGTTATAGCGTAGTGACTATAAAACTTACTAATGGTAACTTATAGTCACATTTATGTCCATATATTTTTTATTAGTAATATTTTAGGGAAAAAACTCCGCATTTCATTATGTTACTTGTATATATTATTGTTCTTAAATTTAGATGTTGAATGCTAGTGGGGTATGATTATTGAATTTTTGGAAGTTAAATGTTTTTGTGATTCATATTTAGATTTTACTATCGAGACAAGACTTAATCTTTTGATGTTGATGTGGTAAGAGATTCATAATTTTGAATCTAGACATATATAATTTGTGAATATTAGGTTCAAACGATTGTAATTTTTTGTGATGTTTTTTAAAAAATATATCTGTGGTGCTATTAAATTTTGATTTTTTTTAATTTAGGTGGTCAATTATAAGTAGTTAATCATCATTTTAGGATGTATATGAATTTTGAAGAAAAAAAATTATCTTTTAATAAAACGGTTACCCGTGGGGAAAACCGTTACCCGTGGATAAAAAATACCCAACGGGTAATGGGGCGATTTCAGGGAAAAATATTAACAAACGGGGCGGGTATGGGTAATGCCGTAATGGTATAACCGACCCCGAACCACCCCATTGCCATCCCTAATCAAGGTCATTGACATTTGACACAATATACAGTTGAAGAATACATTTAACAAAATATGGGATAGCAAGTTTTTCACGGTCAGTTAGTTGAATTGTTACAGACTGGCGGATTTGAAACTTAACTTTTGGGTGTTCAGTGTTTTTTTACGATTAGAAATTTAAAGAGTAATAAAAAATTATACTCCCTCCGTCCCAATTTGTAAGATACTTTACGGTTTACGATATTTGACTGACGATAAAGCAAATTGATCCCTGTCAACACTCAAACTAGTTTTAGAAAATAAAATTTACATATTTAGAAACTACATTAAAACCGCTACAAAACCTGTAAAAAATAATTCAAATTTCATAAACTTTTGATATATAAAATAAAAGATCAAAAGTGATTTATGTTGATCAAGTGAATAGTAAATGTATATTACAATTTGGGACTGAGGGAGTACTAAATTTATACATATATACTTGCATATTTTTCAAAAGTTTAAGTGTTCATGTGAACACTTTGGATCCAGTGTGGCTCCGCCACTATTTACAGACCACCTCAGTCCCACTAACATTAAGGGTATGTTTGGGAGTTTGGAGGGAATGGAGGATGAGAAGGCTTTGAAGGTTAGTTCCACGAGGCAAGGGGAGGGGAAGGGGAGGAAACTCTTATTCTTGTTTAGGAGTTGCAAATTTGAATAAAGAGGAGCTAAGAAGGAATTATAATTAAAATCACTTCACATATATGATGAATTCAAATAGTTGGATTTACATTTATTTAAAATTGAGCTAAAGTTGTCATTTAATTAGTTATTCTTCGAAATTCCTCAATTTGGAGGAACTTAAAAATTGAGCATTTGGAGAGTTACAAAAGCCTTCCAAAACCATCCTCTCCATATTTTCCCTTTCATATTTTTAAACTCCTAGACATGAAAGGAAGGGTCATAAACCCTTGTCAATCTTCCCCTCCCCTCCAAAACCCAACTCCCAAACATACTGTTGGGATATTGGACCAAAGGCCCAATACCCGGGCCAAGGGCCCAGATTATCCAGTACAAAACAGTTAGCCCGGAATCCAGACAAAGAGCGGGCCCAGAGAGAAATATGTACCGAACGGGGTTCGGGTCAACCAAGGTACTTGGGCCAAATCAACAACGTTTTAGCGTGACCCACCACTCCGATCGAGCAACGGACCATTGGCAAGTGGCGAAGTGCATTAAATGCTAGGGTATGACATCAGCAATTGGGAGGATGGGCATTCAAGTGGCTGGATTAACAACCAATCAGCAAGGACCACCCCATACTCACCTCAGCTTTTAACATGTGAAATCATTCCGGACGTCCGAATGAGGAACATGTTAACAGTTTGGAGGGAGCCATCATCTCAGCTAAAGTTTTTGACCCTATGATTATGAACGAATGAATAGAGGGATCAAAGCGGCTTAGAGGTGGTGTCAAAACTATAAGTATGGACGAACCGAGCGACGTTCGTTAACACTGATTTGTTCGTCCGGGGGATCGGAACTATGGTTTTTAAATCTTGCCTCAGTCATTAACTTAATTTGGAAGTGAGTCGCCATTTTAGCTATAAGTAAGAAATGATCTGATCAGGGGATCTTGTTTATAGTTTGAAAATGGTCATCTCAAACCCCTAATATGGATGATCCGGATCGGAGAAAACCGAACGGATTGCATTGGAATTTTGGGTTTGGAAGATAGAGAAAACAAAATACAATAACATGATCGGAGGACAAATTGATCTTTATTCTTCGGCACTGATGACCGGGTTTGAGGGCCACATCACCAGAAGCTGTTTTCTGTCTCTTCTCAATAACCCGATCATAAGTATTCCTGAACAGGTCATCAAACCCCAAATAATCAGGATAGAACGGCTTTGGGAAATGTTCCAGGATCAGATAAGGGCTCCTGTCGAGAAGCAGGTCCCGACTTTGCTTCACCGTCTTCTCGATCAGGACGTCCAGGAAGGATGTTAGTCCCTGTTTTCTATAACAACAATATTAAATGATCTATCAAGAAGCTAAATAGCAGAAAGATGAACAAGATGAAACCCTTCTTTGATAAACCGTGAACTCGTACAGAGAATGATATGCGCTAAGGCTATTTTGATCGAGTACGAAAGTTAACGCAAACCTAAACCTAAAGCGCCTTTTTATATGCGCAGGTATAAGGTTTGCGTAAAGGCTTTCAGTCTGATATGGGCCTGACACATTGGCCCCGTATCTTTTATACCCTATTAAATACAAACATTAATAACAAAGGATATAATAAAAGCTAATCTATTACAAGACATATGACAAGCTTGATTTACAATAAAATGATCTTCAACAATCTCCCCCTTTGTGATCAAGTGCCGTCTTGCTTTTATTTCTGAGCTCTGAAGTAGTGTTTCCTGAAGTTTAGCGCATGCTCATATGATCTCAATGACCTTCTTTTGTCAAGTTGCTTGATGATAGGTTTCAGAATGGTTTCAACTCTGTCGCATTCTCTCAGCTCTTCATCAGTGGCTTCAGCAAGTCTTTGGTCAATATCTTCTTTGATAGGTAGTAGCTTTTGTTGAATGACTTTTAACGTCCCATCACAATATTTGTGTATGTCCTCTACCCACATCAGGCGCTTTTGCTGTTTATGGTTGAGATATAGAATTGAGAGTGGATCCGTAAAGATGTGGTAGGGTTCATATTCCTCAAGCTCTTCTCCATACAGAGTCGGCCTAGTGAGATTTGCCTTCCGAACGTTGTTCTCGAGAGCCATTTGTAGGTCATGAGCAGCATGGAATCTGATTTGTCTGAGCATAAAGCGCTTAATTGCCTCAAATCCTTCTCTGTAGACCTTGTTGTGATTCAACGGGAGAAATCTGCAGACCATGAACATCTGGTATATGTCATCCATGTTAATCATAATAAAGTCGTTCTCCTGACAGGTGAATTCACTTGAATTAGTGCGTTGAACTCTGAAGCTGTAGAAGGGTACTGAGTGGTGGTCTTCTTTATGTATGTCGAGAATAGCATGAATTGGATGAATGCTGGACCTCATGTGTTGCTCAAGAATCTGTCACTGTTTACCTGATGACCTGTGATGTAGCATGTGCAGATGACCGCCTACAAATTTGCCCTTCAGGTGTGTGAGGCCACGGATCTTTAGTTCATTTAGCTGCATGAGTTTGTCTGGTTTCCTCCAGATTCCCTTTCTGATTTCCTCTTGAAAGGGGGCATTGATTCGTAGGTTCTCCCAAGGCTTCGTTGTTGTTGGCATTTGACCTGCTGATTGTCGAATAATCGATTCAAGTTCCTTGGGAGTTTTCTTGTAGTCTTCCCCTTTCTTGAGTTCCTCTTCATCAAGGCGTATGATGTCTTCAGCACACTTTGCAAGCAATTCATGAAGCCACAAGTTCCGTTGCATGTCCTCAGTTTCA